AGCCATAAAGAATGAACACTGAATGTGTCGACATTGAGTTAATAATGATTAAAATATGATTTCTCATTTGTTATTAGTTTTGATTTCACGCATCATCTAGAAAAATGAGTGAATGCAAAAATTCTTTATCAAAATTTGAAATAGAAAGTGTTTCAAATAATTCATCCCTTGTTTATCAATAATTTTATCCTCTAATCCTTGCTTCTTGATTGTATTATATAATTCTTTATACATTAAAAAGTTTTTTAAATAATCTTCTGCTTCTTCTTGTGATAAATAAATAATTGGAATTTTGATTAAATGCTTTAAAGATTCAAATGTATCATCTGAAGGTGAACCTGAACGGTTGATATAAATTAACACGTGTGAATAGGGTGAAGTGTTAGCAATAATGATAATTTGTTTTAATATCGTTAATGTTTTACCTTTATTTTGTTTACCAATTGCTGCAGTGATTGAATTTAAGTAACATTCAGAATATGGAATTTTCATTAATTTTTCCTTAGATAGAGCATTTCTATTATCACTCAATGCTTCATTAATCATATCATCTATGTATGTATTATATACATCTGTTAATTCTTCATAAGAGGTGGATGAATTTAAATCCATTTAATCAAAAATAAATTTATAATTTTAAACATTTCTATTCATCAATATTTCATCATATGAACTTCTATACTGTGGTGGTGTACCTGTTGGATGATATTTCAAACCTTCATCCGGTGTCCATGTCCAATACGTAGTCCTAGTAAACCAAACCTGAGGAGGATTTGTCACCTTTGAACAGTAAGTGTCATTTACACCCTGAATGATTGGATAAGCTTTCACTTGTACTGTAACTTGTGAGTTGAAAGTTTCTAATCCATCAAAGAATATACCCGCTCCATCACGTTGAACTGGAATAGTGCATAAGAATGAAGTTTGGTCTTTCCATGTTCTAGCTAATGGCGTGCCATTATCATCATTCAGTGGTCTAGTTAATGAGTCCTCGTATTCTTCGTGCATTCATTCACTCCATCTAAATCAGAAGCTTGAAGCATACGTGTAAAGAATATGTCACCCACTGTGGTCATCGCTTGATCGGGGAAGTTTCTGGAATCTATAGTGACCTGAAGACCTCGAAGCATTGGATTTTCTAAAACTGTTCTTTGCATTGCATTCTTCGGAAATGTTAACACAACATCTGTAACATTATGAAGAGCGTATGAGAAATCTGAGCTAATACCTTCAGGAGTGATGCAACCTCCATTTAGTGAACGAACGTCAATATGTTGAGCTGGAATCATGAATGGATCTTCCTTACTGAATAAACGTGGTATTGCTTTAACTGATTCTTCAATTAAACCGTATCCTGGTGTAATGCATTTATCCTCTAAAACTTCCATCTTTGTGCATGAAATAATAACGTCATCAACTGTTGCGTCAGCAGATGTAGCGGCTAAGCTTGTAATTAATTTGGCAGGAAGTCCGATTTGTTGGAATTTGCGATCATATTTATAAACATGATTCATAATCTTTTCATAATTTTCATCAGTTATCTTTTCATAAACGTAATTTTGTAAATCAGCAACTCTTAACGGGTCAACCTGACAAAATACTAAAGTATCCCTGAAAACATAATATTTAAGAATGATATCACCAAATGATTTAGGATAATCATCGAACGCCTGAAATGCTAACAAATCATTTACCGGAATAATCATATCAAAAGTGACATCAACTTCTTCATTTGCGTTCTTGAAAACTTCTGAAGGGTCAATATATTTACCACATACTGAGTTATCATATTTTTGAACATTATTATATAACGAATGAACAAACTTTTTAACTTTCCTTTCTGATTTTGGTTTATATGTTGCAAATGCGAAAGATTCACGGGCGCAATCCATCTGAAGATAACCGGCATCACCTCTTTCGGTTTCTACTTCTAATTGTTTAAAGCTTTGATTTGATGATTTGTAACCAACGAATAAACGCATGCATTTAAAAGCGGCATCACATGTGAAAGCTTTATTTGAAACTAGAGTTGCTTTAACTTGCGTTTAATATATGTGTCACCTAATTGGTTCACATCATGAGCCGGATTTGTAATTCTTAAATGAGTTTGTTTATCATCAAAATATGGAGTATCAGAGTCATAGCATGAACTTTCAAGTTCTCTATAATATCTTCTACCGTCATTCTTTGCGAATATTTCATTTATCTTTTCGAATGAATGAAACACATTTCCATTAATCGGTTTAGTGTTTGGCACTAAGTAGTTAGTCGTCATTTATTAATAAATAAAAAATCAAAATTAAAAGATGAAAATGAATTTTTAATTTTAATGAAATAATCAACTATGGCTGCAGGTATATTTAAGAAACTGTGGGATAGAGTAAAAAGAGGAGCGAGTAAAGTTTGGGAAACATGAAGAAGGGAGCAAATTGGATATTTAAGAATAAAGAAGCAATTAGTGACGTTGCTGAATCAATAACACCAAAAGCTGCCCCAATAAGAGAAATTTTAAATAAAGGAGAAAAAGTTTATCAAAGACTACAACCGATACTAAGATAAAAATAATATTTATTTATTTTTTCCACTATCTACCTCCTATTTTATTAAGTATTCCTTCAGCAATTCTACCAACTGCGTTACCTGCTTGTGCTCCCATCACCGGATTACCTGCTTTAGTACCTAATACTCCACCTATGATAGTTCCTGCCGTTTTCGCTACTGGTGCCAAAAAGTTTGCAACGGGTTTAATAATATTTTTATGAACCCAACCCGCAGCTTTCTTAATTCCATCCCATAATTTTTTAAAGAATCCTGCCGCCATTTCTGATTTAATATTAATTAAAAATATATTTCATCACTTATATTCTAATTTTTATTTAATGATAAATGAAACCAATTTTAAAAATAAATGAAACAGAGGAGGAAGAAATAAATGAAAGTGAAGATGTTCAACAAAAAATAAACGTTGTTAAACCAATTACTGAAATAAAAAATTTTTCATCTGTTGAAGAATTTAATGACTATTATGCTAACAATAAAAAATTATTTGAAGAATTGACAACGTGTAAATTGAATAAAATGTTTAAAGTTGATGGATTCAAAATTTCAAAAATAAAAGGAGTGGTTAGTTTAAAATCTATTCCTCAATCAAGAATCACCTCATTAATGAAAATTGATGATTTAACAAAAAGAATAGAAGAGATTGAAGAAAGAATGAATCAAATAATTGATTTCATAAATTCAAATAATCATTAGTTTCTTAAAGTTCTATGTTGATTCTGAGACATGAATTTTTAAAGTTTATTTTTTAATGTGTTTATTTCATTATGGTAGTGAATCTTTTACTCGTTTATGAGGTCTTTGATTATGACTCCATTGATTCCATTCAGGATTTAAACAATGTTTAATTAATCGCGGAATATCTGACATCATCTATATATAGCTTCTTTTATAAAAGATAAAAAATAAATTATTTTAAAATTAATGTTAATTTTTTAATGAAAATAATTATTTCTAATTTCTTTTACTCTCTCATACATACTAGATTTAAAGAATTCAGAACTTTTACCATAATCTCCTAAATGTTTTCTTATCTTATTGGTTTTCCATTCATTATATGAAACTGTATAAACTTTATCTTTATCTTTGCACCTTTCATCACTTCCAATATATTTATATCTCAGTTTTGATTTATTGGTTTCATATTCATTAACGTTTAATAATTCACAGTCTTCCTTTTTAAATAAATGTTTTATGTATTCAGGATTAACAATTCTATAATATTGCTTCCCTTTAAATCTTTGAATATAAACAGGAACACCATCCTCTAAAATTCGATAATCTATTTTATCTGGTTTTACTTGTTGGGTCATTTATGTAAGAATAAAAACCGTAAGAATCATACATTTTTTTACTTCATATGTTAAAAAAATGATACAAAATCGTTCAATATTGTATGAATTCTTACGTTTACAAAAAAAGTCACACAACCCGTCATATATACTACTCCAAAATGAATTTTTTTAAGTGGCTGTAAATCGAGTAAAATTAATGTACTATTGGTTTGTAACATATCTCAATTGATGAAATTGATGAAATACATAATTTGAATGCTTGATTGAAACGCTGAAATATAATTCTATGAATTAATTCAAAATATTCTGTAATCCCGTACTTTTCAAATTTAGTCGGGTTTGAAATAAAATGTTTTATTAAAGAATGATAAATATTATTATGAAAAACGATGAAAATAAAATTCAATTCAACAAATCAAATGATTTGGAACCTTCTTGCCCTCACGTGTGAGGCGAACATTGAAGTGGTAAAACCAACCGGATATGGAACCCTCGGAACTTTTTATATAAAATATAAAGGGCAGTCATTATCTCAATTTGATGCTGGTACATATGTTAATTTAATTGTTAATGGAGAGAAACAGCCATTAGACTTTAGCAATAAGGTAACAAATAATGGATTGGAGGCTCAATTTAGCTACGAAATTACCGATGATATTGTAAAAATAATTTATACAATAAATAACCCAACAAGCCAGCCAATCAGATACAAACTAGGTGTGTATAGTGATGTTGATTTTAACAAAGGATTTAAAGAGTCAAAAGATAAAGTTTATCCGCTTACAGATAAATCTTTTTATGTAGAACAATATGATGATGCTGATTACAAATTTGTTTATCTTTTGATGAGTAAAAATGGTTATTACGGTCCAGATGACTATTTTTATGGAAATTCTATGGCTGTTGACAGAAATGCTGACAAATATTTCTTAAAATTTGACAATTATAATCCCACACCAACATTATCTGATGCTGTTGATATTTTAATATCATATTCATGGAAGGAAAGAGAACTTGCAGCAAATTCTCAAGAAATTCTTGCATTAAAATTAGGTTTTACAAAAACACCAAAAATTTCTAAACAGCCACAAGATAAGACACAATATTCATCATCAGGCTCAATCCCCCTAACAATCAATGTAGATGATGACAAATTTGGAAAAAGTTAAAATAGAAGACTATACTGCAAATGGCCAAGAAATAAATGTTAATGCTAATATTCCTGTCCCTTCAACTGTTACATACGAGTCTGGAGAAAAACAATTATCTATTTATGTAATTGATGAACTCTCAATTAAATCAAACATTGAGACATTTAGTTTTACTGTAAAGAATAAACCAGAGCTTTTGAACTTCGAGCTCAATCCAAATAATGTAATTTCAGGCCAAGATGTTCATATAGAAGGCGATATCAATGATTTAGATAAAACAAAGAAAGTATTTGCATATTGCAAATTCGATGTGGATAGCGAGAAACAAAAGATTGCCGAATTTGTTTCTGATACAACAGCTCATAAAATCAACTTCGACGCCAAAGTTCCGACATATGATTCAATTGGAAAGAAATCATTCAAAGTATGGGCAACAGATGTTGAGAACGCAGATGCTCCAGATGATGCGAAAACAATTGAATTTGAAGTGATAACAAAGCCAACTGTAGAATTCGAAGAAACAGCAAAACGAATCTATTCAGCATCTGATGTTATGGAGATAAAAGGAAATGTTAAGGCAACGACAGAAGTAACACTTCATTTCTACATTGATGGCATTTTGCATGAAGGATCTATTGAATCTGTGAAACAAGGAACACTATTTCAAGGATTCAAGATTACTGATAAAATTGGTTTTGGAAAACATAAAATCTTTGTCACAGTTGTCGACAAAAATGGAATTGAATCTGATCCATCTGCTGAATATGAATTCCAAGTCAATAATGGGCCAGAACTATACGATGTGGCAAGAACTCCAGACAAAATTAAAGTAGGAGAAGAAATAACTATCACAGGCTATGTTGAAGATGTTGATTCAGGAGACGAAATAACAATCATTGTTATGATTGGAATTCTTGAAGGAAGAAAAACTACAATTAAATCAGAAGGAAAAAGAAAAGAATTCAATATCATTATTAAGACTTCCAAAGAAAATGGTTTAGGATGGAAATTGATATCTGTATCAGCCATTGATAAAAATGGAAAGAAGTCTTCAGTAAAAGAGTTATCAGTACAGATCGAAGACAATTCAATTGAATCAAACACCGAAAATGATAAAGAGAAGGATAAAACTCCTGAGCCAAACGATAACTCTAAAACAAAGAAAATTGTAATTCCTGTTGGAATTTCACTCGGAGCAATTCTTGTTATAGTTATTGTGATAGTTATTGTATTAGTTGTGATCAAGAAGAAGAAGAATTCAAATTCTGATATTGTTTCTGACAATGAAGCCTATATGAATAATAATCCTTAATGAATAAAGTCTTTATAGTTAATGATATTCAAATATTGATAATATTGAAAATTTTTTGACTTTTGTCTCATATTATACTCTTGAATGATGAGGTATATTGTATTCTAGTTTATATTATCCTTTAAAATTTTAAAATTTCGACGTAATGCATAATCAATAATGTGAATAGAGAGAAAAGAGTTATACTTTAAGTATTATTAAGGCTCCAGTCCCACCATTTCAATTTTTAAAATTGAATATATCCGTCAATAAGAGTTTTCATGACTTATAATTAAAGATATTATATTAGTGTAATATAAGCTATAATATTATATTGTGATGTAGTGTGTAGCATTGCTAGAACGTTATTTGTAAATTTCACTATTATCAACTTTGAACGAAATTATTCGTCCCATAAACAAAAGGACTCTGTCATGTTGTAGGATATTAGTATAATATATTATTTATATTAGTAAACATGACTTTTACTTCTCCCTGATTGAGTTATTTTTTCAACAAAGAAAAATGAAAAAGTTACTTTTTGACAAAATCTAATAATAAGTGATCCATAATTTTATTATTAATAAACATGTTACTACATATTCTATTGATATATGTTATCATTGAATACCATTAGCTTCTTTCGATTTTTATCAAAGTATATAAAATTACCACCTGGAAAAAATTGACATATTTTGACAAAGAAGAAAAAACTTTTAGTTCCGCTCTGTCACTTTGTTAGCATGCTAATGATGTTTATTATTATATCTTAGTTTAATTTTATATATAAATGAGTAATGAGGAATTAGATTCGCAATACCATCACGAAACTAGCATTTTTAAAAGCTTTTAATTCTATATAAGATAAATAGATATGAAAAGTAAAATCTGATATGAATATACTTTAATATGAACTATTATATTATAGTTGAGATTGTTTGTCAAAACGGTTTTTCGACAAGTAAGTATTCAATTTTTCAAAAGTATATTCAAAAAATTGAATGATATCTCAACGTATAAGAAAAAACTTTTAGTTCCGCTCTGTCACTTTGTTAGGAAAATTATATAGTTTCTATCGACACTATCAGTATACCCAGCTGTGAAATGTATATTGAGGAATTAGGTTTGCAAGAATGTAATTTTTGATATTTTTTTCCAAATTGAGAGGATTTTTGACGATAGAGCTGGACTATTTTTGAACAACAATTTCATTACCTTAAGCATTATAAAAATATGAACAAATTTTATGAAGTAATAGTATAAGTTATAATTTATTAATTTCAAAAAGAAATGACCAAAAAATTCCTTTCCAATATGTTGAATCAAATCGATTTTATAAATAAAATTTAAACCTTAAACTTGATTTTTATAAAAGTGACATTTATTAACTTTCAATAACTTAATCCCAAAGTAAGAAGCTAATCCAATCATATAAAAATGTTATAATTAACCACATGTTTATTCATTTATGATATCATTATGCTTCAAAATCTATATTTCTAAAATTCAAATTATCAATTATCAAAAAATCTTTATTTGTCATATATCAAATAGAAAAGTTAACATAAATCATCTTTCAAACTATAATATAGTTAAATTCGAAAATTTCGAAATCAGATATTATTTAAATTTCTGACATGATGGATGTATACACAATCTAATGGTATATTTTTGCTCCTCATTATCCACTCGTTCTAACTATATACAACAATCATATGGGACTAGAGCCTTAAAAAAAAAAACTTATATAGATATAAACGGAGTAATCATATAAAAATAGCTCATAGAGTTACGGCATATGCATATACTGTGTTTGATACTTCCTATTACATATCCAAACAACTCAATACGATATAAATCAAGTGAAGAACCTCCATCAAATCTGAGTCCACATTTTTGAACACGGAATATGCTATATGGCTTATTAGTTGATATATTAATGTATGCCAATCTATCTGGAGGCTCAGAACTAAGAGTTGTATTTTCAATATAATCAAATGTTACATTATCATTTGATCCCATTAGCATAAAAGAGCGCTGCTTTCCTTGGTATGTAACAATATAATACCCTGTTGGTATAATTTTAATATCTTGAAAATTTAATTGATACCAATCATAAACAGTAGCTCCTAACGATACCCATCGATTTGGATCTGATGGTGTGGATTCCGATATGTTGTTGATAACTCTATATGGTCTATCAACACCTGGCCAACTTGAATGGAAGTTACTAACATAGACTTTTACCGCATTTGAATGTTTCGTTGTGTTTCTGATATAGTATATGAGACCAAGGTATGATGAACTATTGTAGGGTATTTCAGTCGAAAACAAACTCATTATTTTATTGCATTACATTAAATTATTGTATTGGACCAATTAAATGTAAAAGGATATCTTTTTCATGGACATCCAAAAGTATAGTACTTCGCTAGAATTTGAAATCTGAAAAAAAAATTAAACCTTATCAAAGATTCACATTGGGGTATGTTGATATCTTGATGTATCATAATTGGTACTATCATTCCTGGACTCAAAGTATTGAAATTTACTTTGAAGATGAAAAATTGAATTAGAAATAAGGGAAAAACTATTATGCAATATATCAATATATCATTTACAAATAAATTCTTTAATACAAAGTAAAAAATAAAAAAATCATAAAAATTATTTTTTGCATTTTGAGATATGTTCAACTCTTTCATCAAGGGGTGGATGGTTATAATAAACAAATGAGTATAGAGGAGAGGGATTGAATGTCTGGTGCATTACCTTTGTTATAGAAGTCAAAGCTTCAGCAATTGGGAGACCAAGTTGAGCAGCAAAGCAGTCGGCATTCTTTTCTGTTGTCCTGGCTATTGTATTGAATAATGGTCTGTAAATTGTAACAAAAGGAAGAATTAAGTTCATAGAAACAACAATGATCACTGAAACAGGCATTACTTGAGTAATTCCTAGCTCTGACAATCCTTTCTTTTGAACAATATAAAGAACAAGCCCATAAAGTAAAATGTAAACAGCTTGAAGCAGAAAAATAATGATAACATCATTATGTTTGTAGTGGCCAAGCTCGTGACCAATAACAGCTGTTGCTTCTGGGATTGCTGTAATGGAAAGTAGTGAATTTGTAACAAAAACCTTTTTTACAATGATTCCTGTGAAATAAGCATTAGGAATGCCTTGGTCGCGTATTGAATTGCTAATTAAGATATCGTTGTATGGGAAACCAACTTTTTCTGATAATTTTGCGATGGAATTATTAATATCATATGGAGATATTGGTTGGAACACCTCTCCCTTGAGCATAAGTAATTTAGGGAATATAGCAATGAGGATAAATAAGGAAGGAACAGAAAAAACAACGTGGAAAAGCCAAAATGGAATTTTGCATCTTCTTTGTGGAGGATTTTGTACCTCTGTTGGATCTTCTTGTGTAACATTAGCTGTATTATTGTTTTCTTGTGGTGTTTCTTCTTGATTTAAATCGGTACATCGAGCAACTCTTTTATCTGCAAAAACAGAAATCAATTGTAGGGCGCATTGACCAAAACTAGTCATTAGGAGTTTGTTAAAGTCGCTCTTTCTGTAAGTCTTATAGTCAGAATTGTATTTCGCGGTTACAAAAACAACATCAACAAAATCAAATGGGAGGTCAAGAAGGATGAATTTGAGTGTGTATAAAACGACTGTAAAAATGTAATCATTATGGGTTTTTGTCCAAATAAATTTCAATAATAAGAAAATAAGAACATAGTATGAGGCCGAAATTAATATCTTTAATATGTCTAATCTTGTAGAATCGATGACAATGTTTAATTTTTTATAATCAAGTATATTATCGAATTCTGATTCTTTATATTTTTTTAAATATGATAATTGTGAAAGATTTGGTATCAGGTCCATGATCATGCAGAATACAACTGAAAAAAACAGAGCTCTCGGAAGGGTGATAGAGGAAGCAATGCGCTTCCATCTCGCCATGATCCGAATCTGAATGAAAGATAAGCAAGTGAATATGCCATATATATCAAAAGTATTAGTTTGCTATCTAAGAGTGACAGAAAATGAATAGTTTGTTACGATAAAAAATTCAAAAACTCAAACAGACTTCAATAAATAAAATTTAGGATTTAAAATAGCGTAACAAAGCTCAAAGCTTAAAGTAATAAAACATACAATATATTTGAAAATTTTCATAATGGATTTTTGTGAGAATTTAGAAGTGGTGCGTCTTCTTCTGGATTGACTCTTGACATGGGCGATTTGAATAACAAGACCAATGTAAGTACAACAACTATTATTAATGTAATCAAAACAAATACGAATGCCATACGTGATTTCCGCTTTACAGAATCTGGTATAAAGTATGTGAACTCTGTATAAGGTATGTCATCGTAATCATTATTATCAAATGAAATTCGAAGTTGAACTTTGCCTGCATCATGTTTTGGTGTGACACATGTTATTGTATCTTTTTCAATTTTTTCAATAACTGTGTTGAAATTAAATCTGCAGTAAACTTGCAAGTATTGAACTGAAGTATTTAAAGAAACTGTCACCACTGTTCCACCCTCTGTGGGTCCCTCACTTGGTTTGATATCTTTAATGCCGATTCTCTTTATTTCAAATGAACTAATTAATGAAAAAAGAAAAATGAGCATTTCAGAAATTAATTTATAAAGGGAGATACACCAATGAAAAAAATAGGTAAAGTTATTTTTCTCCATGGGGAAAAGTTAGTAATAATTGTAGGAAAGCACAATTCTCCTATACGTATATGCATACTTTGTTGTAAAATATATATGTCCGATGAAAAATACTCGAAATGATTTCAATCTCAGATGTCAAAAGGTTCCTGTCGGTCAAAATAGCCATTATGAATGGCTGATGCCATATGGATAACTTTTGGCCAATTTTTGAATAAAAAGCCTTACATGATTTTCAATTTATAAATCCTTTACATCAAGCACGGTGGACAGTAAAAAGTGAAAAGCTGTTGTTATTGTAATTCTGAATACATATCGTATGATAAATATAGATATATCAAAGGAAATCATTTTAAAAAATTGAAAGCGGATTTATCAAAACTGTGTTATATTTCAATTTGATAATTCAAATTTGTCAAAAATTAGCAATATCTAAATTGAAGTTATTCTAGACATAAATATGATAATGAATATAAATTATAATGTGCGAATAAAGTTTTAAAAGGCAAATGTGGATTACAAAATAATATTAATTAGAGAATATGAAACAATATATTGATATTTGATCGAACACAAAGTGGAGTTTTTGATAGTTAAATTGATATCAAACCCTACAGTAACTTAGGGAGAAAATGTATCATTGCATACTATATTATTGGTATAAGCGTAAAAATAATTATAAAAATTCAATGAGTTTGCAAAAAATTGATTAGTATCGATTCAAAATGCAATCTTTTCAATCCCATTTATAACATTCTGTTGGGTTTTGTTATCTATATTAAAAATATGATGTGGCATGCATAAAGCACGTTTCGTTATTTGAAAGAGCCTTCAAAAGTTACGATAAGAATTTTATATAAGTTTAGTATATGTACAGTATATCACTTTTCTCGATTTAGATAAAAAAAGTTTACATCATTCAAAAGTTGATTCAGTGAAACGTTTTTATATTTCACATTTCCTCAGCGCATGTCCTTCTTAGATCCTTCTATCGAGATCCAAAAGCCAGAACAGTATGATTTGTCACTTAAAAGCATTTCATGTGCTAGGAAAAGACACTGTGCCATGATGAAGTTCTTTGATTCTGCTGAATGGGCAATCAACGCAACAGAACTTCAAACCGCATTACCACACATTAACGATCCTTTGGATGTACCAATTGCCTCAATACATCAATCTCCACTCAATGCTTATTGAGTTATTGATGATTTTCAAATACTTACGAAACTAGTAATTAATTTCGTATTGTTTGTTTGTTATGATTAAAGTTGTTTAATTTTTTATTAACTTACTTATCTACTGATCATTTTACTTGGATTTCTGAGATCATACACACTATTAGGAACAGAACTTTTCAACATGTAATGATATTGATATTTTACATTAAATATAAGAAGAATAAACCGTTAATTCTGGCATTTTATGGATATTATCCAAGATTATATGAAGACTGTTAATATCGGATTTGATTGATATTAACTTGATATTTGGTTTCAAAATAATAAAAATCCGAATTAGTTTGCTCCTATCTATATAAATAAAGATGTCAATAAAATATATATTCAAAAGGTGTAGAATTAACGAATGTTAGTGCAAGCTTTATTTACTATAGTTATTTTAGTTTTCATATTTCTGGGTGTTAACTGTGATAATATTTTCGCTATGAAAAAAATTATTTGTTAGTAATTGGGAAATGCACCGTAAAAAAATAAGGATATATCATGAGATATTTAATTCAAACAATATATTGTCCCCAACATTCATCTGAAAAATGGTATGCAGCTAATGGAAGGGACGAATGGCCATCAGACCAGTCAAATGCCCTTGGGTTGAATGGAGCCTTGGGGCGGCGAATTTCCGTATGAAATTGCGAGGGGGTGCACTTCAAGCATCCATAAGAAGAATCTTCTTTATCGAAATCGTAAATGTTTTGTACCGTAAAGGTACTACTAGGAGGATCTGTTTCGTCATTATTGGAACTACTTATACTAATTTCCGTAGGTTCAAGCATCTGAGAAAGAAATAAATTGAAAAACTGACATCTGGTAAATTTTCAAAATCAGAATTTAAAAATAGTAATATTTTGGATGGGTATGCATGATTAAATGAAAAATATTTGGTTGATTGTTTGTGGGAAAATTTGCGTTAGATTGAAAAAATACTATACGAATTAGAATATAAATAAATATGCTGATAAATTTAATAACGTGCAAAATTCAATTGGTTGAATGCAATTGGTTTACGATCAAATATTTATTAAAATTTAATGCTAGATAGTCATATCTCTAACCTTTATTGAGGTTGAATAAATTCAATTCAAAATTTTGGATTAAAAATTTTATTGGAATACGATTAATCATATCATTTCCAGAACGAAATTAAAGAAATCATAAAAATTTCTGGCAGTTTTACGGTTTTTTTGTGAATGAATTCAATAAAAATTCAGTTACTAGCTATCGCCTGTCCTCTCAAAAGTCAGATTTAAAAAAGTGAAACTAACTTAATATCATACTCTACATAAATTTATTCATTGTCCCAAATTGAATAGGAAATTATCGTTAGATAAAAATATAATATCCAAATTTCCTTATGTATTATAATTTCTCATTGTTTAAATTTGAAATGAAAATTTCCATTCTATCGTTATTTTAGATTAACAAAAATTATGATATTATGGTAATTGAATTTTTACTATGGCAGTCCCAACGGGAACCGCGGTAATTTACCGAGGTTTCCGCACACCGGTTCCTTTTTTAGGAATTTTTTAGATTAAAAAATATGCTTTGTAAATCATTTTTTGTAAATCGGCAAAAATTTGTAAATATTCTGACGACAATAAATCTGGGAATAGTATTTTAAATACGAGAACAACCTATTTAAAAGTGTTTCGCTCGATTTTGTATAATTTCAAATTTTCGCATATAGCTTTCCGTGAATTACCGTGATTTTACCGCCACATCAATAGTTTACGACACTTTTCCCGTAAATTGAGTAGTTTACTGCACTTTTTCCGTAAAATTGAGTTACGGGAATCCGTAAGATTACCGTACCTCACTTCTAGTTGAAAATAGCATTAGTATATAATAAATAGATATATTATTCATATTTTTGATTTTGAATTACGGAAAAAGTGAGTTCAGAACTTCCAATTATTATTTGATTAATTATGTTAAAAATACTATAAGGAATTAAAATACATAATGTTGAAATTTGAATTACGGAAAAAGTGAGGGTGAAAGTGAAGTGAAAAAGTAAGATATTTTTTGTTGAAATAATCATAGTTGTACAATTTTGAAACTATATGTAAAGCTATAAATTGAATAAATTCAAAAACAAAAATTGTTTATTCTTATTAATAAATTTATATTAATCAATATTTGAACAACCCGTAATTAAAATTGAATTCCTCTTAAAATTTAATCCATACATTAATTTTTAATTTGCTCGGCGAATGCCGAGCTTCCCTACTTCTCTTGTCATTCCTTCAAAAACTCTAATCTCATCGCACTTACAAACATCATGATTTGATGTATTGTCGAGAAATCTTAGATTTGTTTGTCATTTGATGATAGCATTTGAAAGTCATCTCGAAAATCGATTAACAAGACAATTTCCCAAACATCTACATACAAGTAGATGATGGTAAACCCATTAGAGTTGTTTTGCTATGATTCCTCCAATCTTATGATGAGAAAAATCATATCAAAACAGCTCTAATCGAACATTCTACACAGCTTAGCATCCAGCTAGTTCCAAGTAATGCGATTACAACATCAACGGCCAAAGCCTTTCAGAGTCCTTTAATCATTTCTTCTCATCTCAATGTGAAGTGGCCCCAAACGAACTACAAGCTGACGTTACAACGCATTACAACCCGGTTAATACGAGCATATACATTAGAGCTGCTTTGTTATGATCTCCCTCATCAATTGATGAGAGATCTCATTATGAAGCAGCTCCAATCGAACTAAAAACCTACATACAAATGAGTGAAAACAAATTCATTAGAGTTGTTTTGCTTTGATTTCTCTCATCAGAAGATGAGAGATACCAGAACAAAACAACTCTAATCAAACTTTCTACACAACTCAGCACAGTATCAATGCAAAGTAATGCGTCTGTATCGTTAACAAGCAAAGTTGTTTCGGGTCCTTCCATTTTGGAAGAATTCGGAACAACTTTGCGAATTGATAGTGTAAACCCATATACATGAAAGCGTGCATGCATAAAGACAGGTATTGTCAGCAATGACTACCTGCCCAGCTATGAGTGATCAGAGAATTACCATCTCAGGCTTTTTGAGAACGTTTCAGCCAGGACCCTCGTATGTTGACTGTGAGAAAGGCATCCTTTATCTGAAATAGATGCTTTTCCAACAATCAAATTCGAAGATCTTCGACGTTGTTGTAAAAAGAGAAGGAGAAGGAAAGAAGAGGAAGGAGAGGAAGAAGGAAAGGAAAAGAAGAAGAAGAAAAAAGAAAAAAAGAAGGACATATTAAATATAATGCGCACTTAATAGTGCCGAGGCGGCGGAGTCGCCGAGGCGCGATTTTTTTGACCCTATATTACCGCACGGCAATGTTTTTCTCGATTTTGTACAGCCCTAATTTTTACATTATTTTTTATATTCATTTCTTTAAATATCTCATATATTCTTAATTGATGTCTCTGGATTATACATCTTGTTTACTATCAAAAATACCTTCAATTCCTCGTTTTATGTTGAGTCAATTTTTCCAAATTTCCTCGAATTTTCTAAATTTATGTTAATTTAGTTAGTATGTCTATCTTGGGTACGGCGGCACTGCGTTCCACCTTACCCAAGATAACGGTTTGACACTTTACGAAACAGGTAACGTATATTTTACAACACAACCATAACACCAACTTAACCTTAAATATTTACAAAACCATCTGACACATAAACGACTTCACTAACGAATTCACTACCGTCCTCACTAAATAAAAATAACCTTATTTTTATTTTTTTTTAATTTTTTATTTCATTACAAAGACATGTCCGACTACATTTACTATGACTCTTTCCCAGAACGTTTCCGTGAACTATTCAAAACTCAAGTAAAACTGAGAAACATGCATTTTAACAAAGACAGACCCATTGACGATGAAAGAAACCCTGAATATATTACAATCCCATATGACGCAAAGTTCATTGCATACATTCCTTATGGTCGCAGAGGAACGAAAACTATTTCAACAAAGAACAAAAATTATTTCTGGAGCGATGAAGAAAATTGCCTTATCTACATAAATGCATACTTAAATAAAGCTACATATTGTACAAAAGAAGGTTGGACTGGATTTGAGCTCTACATATACGACGACGATGGAAACAGACGTTGTGTATACCCATACGATAATATGTACCATTGTTTTCATCAAGCATTAAACGAATACATAGTCAGTAAGGGTCTCATTCCTGTTGAGTAGATATGCTTTATTTTTGTTCTGTCATTTATATAAAAATAAAATAAAAATAAAATAAAAAATAAACTTAAAAATAATGATATCACCACCCTCACACGTATGAAAACATAGCACAAAAATAAATTTAGGGTAGAAGGTAGATCTAACCCGATTTCTAACCTCATTTCTATCCTGTTGAATTCATTGCTTTATAACTCTCTTCCTTTCTCCAACTCTTCTAACTTCTTCTTAAGTTCAGCAATGTTGTCTTCATGAAGTTTAATCTTTCTCAAAATTCCTTCTCTATCTAATGGTTGCTTTATCTTTCTAAACTGAACTCTACCATCCTTCATAGTATGAATGTAAAAACCTTCTGGAATAGTTCCTGATTTAATGTATTCTACCAAAAACTTTTGTTTCATTGCTTCAGTGACTTTATTTGTCATTTCAATCAAATAAAAATTTTAATATTAAATAAAAATAACGTTATTTTTTCAGTAAGGAAACGCAGGAGTTTTACGATTTATTTGAGGAGTAGGTTCTGGTTTAAATGTTGGAGTCGGTTTAGGAGTTGACTTTTGAACAGGAGTTTGTACTTCCATAGGTTCAGGAGTCATTGAAGGTTTTGCTTGTGAAGGCGTTGGTTTTGGCGAAGGTGTTGGAGTTTGTTTAACTTCAGCTACTTCAGTATTATTTACAACGTTTGCTTTATTTCTTTTCAACATCATAACTGCTCCTGCTGTAGCTAGCAAACCTAGTGGGAGACCATATCTTTATATAAGGACTTGACCAAATGCTATTTTTGACAGGAGCTGGTGGAACACCTAACCTTGGTGAGACTGCTCTTTGCCATTGTGCAGCTCGTAAGAAATATTCAATAGGTGCTCCATAATCGTTTGGTAAAGTTTGTTTCACAGATGGTGAAGGTTCACGAGAGCTTGATGAAGAACTCATTTATAAGCTTTAAAAATAAACGTTCATCCTTTATTCCTCACTGTCGTCCGCAGCTAAGTTATAGTCATCTAATCTTATTATTGGGATTCCATTAGCACGCACCTGAATGGCAAAGCAACAATCCCTCATAAATCCAATAAGTGGCTTTGGTACATTTTCAGTTGCTAGTTCAATAGGTCCTTTAACAGACAATTTGTATGTTATTGGAGCAGTAGATGTTTGACCTTGCTGGAAGCAAAAGTCCACTTCTGTTGGAAAACCACATAAGAAATGTGTGTTGTCATAGCTATCCCATTTATGTTCCACACTACCATCATCCACCAATGACCTCATAACATCTTCATTAAATCCTATCATATCATTGTTTGTATTGCAAGCGTTCGCAACCATTTCATAAAATACAGGTCCATATGATTTTTCAGGTTCTGCAGGCATATTTCCATAAGCTCCCATGGAAAGCTGAAGATATTTAAACTTAGGGTTCTCAAAATTAACATAATAGTTGTCTTTCTTTCTAAATAGTGCCCAAATACTTTTAACATTAATAGGCGTATAAGCTGCTGTAAATGTTGCACTTGAACTATCTGTATTCTTTGAGAATGAACCGTCCATAGGAATCCAATCCATAACTTTAACAGGAAAACATAAAGCCTCGTTTGTATAATGTTCTACAAGTTCTGTATAAATGTTAGGGTCTAAAGAGAATGACTTTGGATGAATGAAACATTCATTAAAATCCATCTTTGTTCGAAATAGTTGCTGGGTTACAGTTGTAATAGTAACTGTTCCACTAGCTTCTACTGCCTTCGTTATCATAGTGAATGGTTCATTCCATGGAACAAATTTATTTGTCGGTGGATTTGAATCTGAAGCAAATGCAACTTTAAGAGTTGGATTGAAAGCAATGATATCATTTACAGATATAGATGTGCATTGTAAGGCGTCGCTACTGAACTTTACTTTAAGCTGAATGTTTCCTGCAAAAGCTGGAATAAATCGAATAGCTTCTAATGGAAGGAATCTTCTAACAGGAATTCTTAAACGAAGCTTAAAATCAAATGATTTTCCTGCTGTAATTGGACCACTAACAATTTGTCCTGTTCTGCATGTTCCCGAATGACTCCATACATCTTCATGTCGAGTCTTTGAGAAAACATCTACTTTCTTTATTTGTTCGGTAGTTTGTGAGTTTGAAGTTATATATGCTTCTTCTCTTGCGTTGTCTTGAGAATATACGATACGACCATTTGCAAGGATTTGATATCCAGCAACTGCATAGAAAGCGTCATCGAAACCAATCCAAAATCCTGGTGGGTTTGTTTTATTGGAACCTGAACCAATTTCTTTATCTACAATAAATTGACCTTCCATTTTATACGTAATGAATGTATTGTAAAGGTCCAACATATTTTCACCAGGAGGTGAGAGATTGAATGTTACCCATGTGTTATCTTTAGCAGTTCCAGGTTGTGATGGAATCTTTGCGTCAGAATATTTTCTATTAGTGTCACCAATTTGAACTGCATTGTCTATGATATCGAAATATGAGCGAATCTGATGAATATGCTCTGCTGGAGTAAATTCGTCTTTAGCTGTTCGTTCTGCATGTATTTACTTCAGATAAAAATATCTATTTACTTCATTATTCTCACTCTTCTTCTTGGCATTCTGTGTGTGGAAGTTGTTTCTTGACATTTTCAATGAACTGTACATTCTCTTTTGTCTCAACTTCTTTCACTGGCTGGTCAGGATTCTTTGACTCGGTTTGTTTTTCAATGAAATTCACGAACTTTGCAATAAGCTCTTGGTTCGTTATTGAAAGTACATCTGGCTTCTTTTCTTCTGGTTCTATTGACTTTTCAGTTTGAATAGAAGGCTTAACATGGGCTTCGCCCTCGGTGCCATGCACCTTAATGTTGTCGCTTTCTGCATTCGCTAATGGAACCTTTCTTTTTCTTACGTATATTTTACCATCTTTACTCTGATTTACGTAATAGAAAGGATGTTGTATTCCTCTGGCGTCATTTAATATAATAGACTCTCGCTCTGATTTTGACAGCTCATTTTACATCGGTTAAAGTTTTAATTTTGTTTTTTATCTGCAGTCAAATGACTCAGACAAGCCCTACGGACAAGACCCAATGGGTCATAGATGTTGAAGCATTGAAGAAAGAAATTCGTGAGCAAATTTTATCCGAATGAAGGAACAAAAACAAGAACAAAAGCCAGAGAGACCAAAGAGAAAACTTAGTGAAAAACAACTTGCTGCATTAGCTGCTGGAAGACAAAAGAACCCAAGACTACTGGCGAAAAAAGCTAGCGAAGAAGCTGAAGCAAAAGCTAAAGAAGCTGAAGCAAAAAAAGAGTAAATGGGTTATTTTTATCGGAACTAAATGTATAGACAAATACCTTTATCTGTTGCGTTCAGTAGTGAAAACCCTGACGTCAAAATAAAGGGGAACAGAGTAACGTTTAAGTTTCCAACAGACTGGATTGTGAACATAAATGAAGAGAAGTACATTGGCATAACATCTATGTATATAACACGTGCTTTCAGAAAGGTTGACTTTATACTTCAAGTCGAGATAGAAAATGACGAACAGTCTTTAAGCGCCCAAAACATTCACATATACAAATACTTTAAAGACGATACAACATTGTTGCAATGTATGATTTCATTTAATGAGATGTTCGAGAAAAAGTTCAACATTGAAGTACAAACTTTACAGCCTTTACGTGAGTTTCTTGCACAACTGAAGGAAGAAGGTAGTCAGCCACAACTTATAGACTTTCATTATGAATTTAATGAAAATGAAGATGGAACACATGACTGTCAGTTTGTTGTATTCTCACCATTCAATGAAGTCGCTAAAGAGAAAGAAAATCCATTACGTATAAGATTTCAAATCTCTGAACCAAGTGATGATTTCAAGAATGTTTTCAATTATGATGCAATGCTTCCGAGGAAAAATGAATTTTCAAAGATTGTAACACCTGGCATTTGGGATAGAGCAAGCTATATTATATTCAAACTTAAGTAAGGGAGTTGAAAATGAGTTCATTGGTCATACAAGAACTTCACCACTTCCTAACCCTAAATACTATAAATTAACTGGCTTCAATCGTGAGTTTTGGATAGACATGTTCTCCACTCATGACCATAACTGCCCAGTGTTCTTACCTCCAGACCATAAGGACTGTCTCTACATTGAGAGCAAACTCTTAAACTCTACCATCGCAGTATTGTAAATGACCACATGGGCTTCGCCCTTGCCGCTAGCGGCTTATTTTTATCATGAATGGTCTCACTGCTGACAAAAATAAATGACCTCATTATTTTTCTCATTCATGACCTCAGAACTTAAGCTTTCTTATGAATGAAGTCTTAGTCTGAATAGAAAAGTTAAACTTCTCTTCAAATGCAGGTGTAGCAGACTTACATAAGTCGAATGCAATCTCTTGACCGTCATAAAGTGCTTTATATAACTTCATAACACTGAACTCAGAGTCTTGGTCAAATTTTCCTTGCGGAACCATTAAACCTTTATCTTCATCATAGAAACACTGAACAGAGTCAGGAAACATTTCATTAGCGGTTAAAGCAATAACATCTTGCTTCACGCCTTTCATTCTGCAGTGAAATGCACTTCATTTAAATCATTCGTGAGTAAGTCTATGTAAGTCTTCTTTCCACAAAATATTGACTTGTATGCTAAACTTTGTTTATCTTTTGTGATTTCTGCAAAGTCGCTATGAAATTGACCAAGGTTTTTACCAATGAGAACTCTTCCATAACGTTTCTCAAACTCTTCAGCTAAACGAGGGATATCTTCATTGTAGAGATGCATACTGTCCGTATCGCTATAAAGATGTCCATTCCTAAGTCCTCAGCAGTACAGAATACTTCACACATTATTCTCTTCGACATAGACAGAATGTTAACACCAAGTGGACAGAAGTTTAAATTGTCTGCAAATGCTTTTCGTTAGCTTGAAAATAGTTTTATCTGAACCATCCAAACCTTCGAACTTCACTATATGGTTGTAGTTCTGATGGCATATCTTATAGCATCTTTGTCATTTACTATGGTTATTTTTGACTCAATAGGAGATAGAATAGTTTTGCCATAAATACTGTTCAGAATGAGCTTTATATTTTCTTGCAAAGGATTTCCTTCTTTCTTATACTTTAACCTTAACTCAAACAACTTCTTTACTTCATCTCTTATTCTAATATCTCTGTTTCCATCGTAATAGTATCCTTGCAACACTTCACATTTGACACCTTGATATTTTATGAGGTCTTGTAATGTTATATGGTCAACATACATTAAACAGCAAGTGTTTGAATTTCTGGGAACGTTAAGTTCTGGATTTAGTTCAGGGTCACAAACTATTAAAGGAAAGTGTCTATGTATTCCAATCTCTGTTATCTTAATGAGAACAAAGAAGCCGGACATAAACTTTTCACCAATGGGTTCCTTTTGGTCGTCATCGAATAAATGTCTCATGAGATACTCTGTGCTTAACATTTCTTTCTTCATAACCTTTGGAATACCTTCTAAAGTATAAAGTCTTGCTATAGCTGATGGATATAATGAAACAGCGTCGAAATCAGCAATGAGTTTCTCTTTACTCTTTTGTTTAATGTTATCTGACAACATACATCTTCCACCTTGAATGCATCTCGAAATAACTCTCTTGGTTTATTTGAGAGGTCATATAAATTTCCATTCGGGAAGTACACTCTGTTCTCAAATAATTTGTTAGCAATTGAACAAATACTAACGTAGTCATAAACGTTTAAATCAAATTCTTTCAATATGTCATTGCGGAAACTTAACAAAACCTTCTCTTAAAATTCTTACATCTTGTTTGCAATAAAATGTGCTATACTTTTCTAAGTCGAAGTGGTTCTCATCTATTCTGCAACCTTTGATGGAATCTATGTTTTTCATGAATGTATCTGCATCCCGGATAAACTTACATGCTTCAGAAATGACACCAGTTCTGTTATCATTTGCTAACAAAACACTGCTGTAGTAGTTGTATGGAAATACTTCTTTCGGTCCTGTTTGTAAGTTAAACATAGCAGGAAATAGTTTAAGTTTCTTATTTATAACACTGTAAGAGTCTTTTATAATAATTGCCCTTCCTTTATATAAGCCAGTTATTTGCATTGTTCGTGAACCTTTAATGATGGGAGTTCCTTTCACTTCTGTCATGTGTCTTAAGATGAAGTTTATATCATAACTGAGGTTATGGAAATATATTAAACTCTTGTCAGGAAGTCGCTCCAAAAATTCTGTTGCACAGTTCTGACCCCAAATGCTTTCACTCACTGAACCATCTTCACTGTCATAACAGATGTTAAAAGCTTTATGAAAGCCGTCTGTGCTACACTCAAAGTCAGCAAAGAAAACGTGCTCAGGAATGAACTTGCACTTATTTTTATTTACTTCTTTTTGACTCGGCTTTCTTCTTCAGTTGTACACAATACTTTGGAGCATATGTCAAATCTTTAAATGTGCAAGGTTCTGTTTATATAAGTCAGTCGTATATGTGAAAAGTTCTCCATAAGAAATAGGTTCGAAATATTTGCACTCCCACAATGTTTTCATAACATCCCATAACGGTGTTGTTCTATCATAACGAACTACATATTTATCTTCTCTCTTTGTATAAATCTTCATTTGTTTTTCAATGTTCATTCCACCACACTCCTTCAAGATTTCTATATAGTTGCGAATGAAATATGTTGTCATTGGTAATCTTTCGTTTAGCATGTAGTGGTCTTCAACAAGAAGTAAGTCAATAGTTCGAATAGTTTTACATTCTTTTGGTATGTATCTCTTTATTTTATTATGTCTTGAGTCATTGAAGTAACCAATGGTAACATTAAATGCTATACCTGTTGCATCAGAAATTTCTTGTACTTTACTTTGAGGAAAGTCTCTAACACGAATGACTTCTCTCATGTGGTCAATAGTCTCTCCATCTACTCCAGCCTGAATGCAAGCATAAACGAAACAATTGTCTTCTGTCATAAGTGCTGCAGTTCTTTTGTTCAATTCATTGAAGATTTGGTAGCGCTCAAGATTTATAGGTAATGTGCAAAGATACTTCCAGAACTGCCCGCTTCTCTTCTTATAAAACTTCTTTTCACCATTATCTTTCCAAAAGCTTTCTATAAGTGCTGGGTTTCCTGTTTGCTTAAGAGCTTCCAAAATGGCTTTCTGGTCATTTGTCAGTGTGCTTTCATCTCTATATGGTCTCTTTTTTGGTTTGCCTTTCTTTACATCTGACATCGTTAAGCCTTCATATTCTGTTAAATCATACATCTTTATTTCAGTAAGATTCTTTATGTTTGTCAAGAAGAAGTCATAGTGCATTTCAACAATACCTGCAGCATTTGCTTCTATCTCTGATATAAAGTTCTCCTTCAAGAGCTGATGTAGTAATGTTCCAATATTATTGAGGTTTAACGTAGAACATTCATACTTTCCACCAAGTTTATAACATACCATCCATCTCTGTTGTGAGTTTATTTTAATTTTCTCTAAGAGTCTCATGAAAACCTTACCGAAATGTTTGTGTAAGTAGTCTCTGTTTGGTTCATCTAAAGCTTCGATGTTAAAGTCAATGAGTCTATTGCCTGACTTCACATTCCTCTTCCTATTCTCTTCATCTTTCTTTAACCATCTCTCACCTTCTTTTGGTTTGTCGTCAATGGAACGAATGACATCTTTAGCTTTGCGAACTTGTTCTATAGCACTTTTAAAAATCTCTCTTCTCTGTTGTTTCAGTGTGTCGTCTCTCTTTCGTGTTTTACCAACGTTTGCATTTGTTATGTCATACATTTCTCTTCTTACTTCATGAGGTACAGCTCTTCTTGTTTCACCAACGTTTGAGTTCGTAAGTTCAAACATCTCTTGACGAACGTCATGAGAAAGAGCTTTACGAGTATGACCAACGTTCGCATTTGTTATGTCAAACATTTCTCTTCTTACTTCATGAGGTACTGAACGTCTATGATATAAGTCAATAGCAACGTCATTTAAAGGAAATGCTCTTGCATGGACTTCGTCCTCGCCGCGTTGCGGCTTTATGAACTCATGAATTCTATCATAACTTATTGCACCATTATAGTCATTGAGGATGTCAGCGAGTGCTTTTTTGTTTGTTGCGTAATGCTTTGCAACATCTATATTAGCTTCTGTAAGAAGTTGTTTTATTTCCGAGTGTTCTAACTTAGACAACTTCCGATACATCTTTAGTAGGAAATAAAAAAATATTTTTTGAAAAAATTAGATTAGATTTTTTTTAAGTTATTTTTCAAAATAATTTAATATTTTTATTTTAATGAAACACATGCAAGATTGCAAGTTCTTTTCATAGAATGCTCTCGCTACTGCCATCAAGAATGAGTTCAATGGTGCTGCAAACGTTAATGTTATCTTTAACAAGAAGTTTGTGAAAGAATCTAAGTTTGGTCAGTATGTCAGACCATTAGCTATCGTCATTGACCGCAAACGTTATACTTCACAAGAGTTAGCAGTAGTTTTGAAACAAAAGAGTTTCTTCGTGAATGTCAAAGATACACACTATACTGTCATAAAGAACTCTAACATTGACTTCTTCAGTATTGCTTTAAATCTTTCCGAACAGAAAGAATATAAGAAAGGTGAAACAAATGTGAAATATTATCCTTCATCTCCGAAGACAATAACGAACAAAGATGTTATACAGAAATTCTTACCAAAGGTTGAAGAAGCTTCTATTGACATTGACGAAGGAAGTGAAATGGTTGAAGAAATAGACCCTGACGTTATTTAAGCAAAAATATATTTTTGGTTAGTCTTCATATCGATTATAGATCCAAGGTGATGTGATTTTTGCATCCCTGGGATGGACGATACACCCAAAGTGTCACCTTTTGGGATAACATGAATTTGAAATATCATGAGAGTTCTGCAAACCATATGCACAATATCTATTCGGCCTGACTTCTTGTATATATGAGTTAGACTTCTTAAATATTGTGCTTGGGGCGATATAAGCATTTCCGAGATTACCATCGTGCTCTATAGTATGCTACTTCTCCTTGGTTCTAGCTCAGTTCCAAGGATATTGGCGTTCAAGGATTTGGCAAGGTCCTTCCGAAGTCTCTCATTCGATGAGAGATTTCGGAAGAATCTTGCCTTAAAGTACTCCAACTCTTGTTCTTTTGTTCCTAAATAGTGAGAAAAGTTATTTGACTACTTAAGGTAGAGATTATCCGAGGTCCCTCATTTGATGAGAGGCCTCGGATAATCTCTGCCTTAAAATTGTACACTTGTAGTCCATGAGAGTGTAAGTATACATTGATAGGACAGCTTTCTTCTGAAGTCTTAGATTTGATGAGAACCTCAGAAGAAAACTGTCCTATTTTATAGTAAAAGGAGTTTCAGGAGCTCCAAAGCTCCCTTTCGTAAGGATTAGGAGCTTTGGAGCTCCTGGTTCGTAGATGTGTTTCGCATCTTTCATCAGAAGAGGCCCAAATGGTAAATAGCCTCTGCTGATGAGCTTCAGGAGCTCCAAGGCTCCCTCTCGTAACGATTAGGAGCTTTGTAGCTCCTGAAGGTAAGGTAGGATTGCTCTGATCTCAAATCAGTAGATGCCATGCCTCATTATGAACTCTACTGACAAGAGATCAAGAGCTCCAAGGACTCCCTTTTTAGTTAGTGGCGTTCTCACCATTTAGTAGGATTGCTGATCCTACTAATGAAGTGATCACTTAGTATACGTTTTGAATAAATTGAATTTTTTTTAGAATTTAGTATTTTTTATAGACATCACATGTATATTATAAATACATAAATATATTCTTTAATTCAAAAAATTCAATTCGGTTTTGGGATGGGTATCCCAGCCCCAAGTATTCAATTTTATTCAATTTTTTAAGAATTTTGGGTTGGGATGCCCAGACCAAAACAAGCTTTATATTTTGATGTGTAGATACGTATGTGTGCATCATTGTTGTGTTATATATTATGTTTTTAATGAAAAAAAAATCTGATTCAAAAAAAATTATCACTAATTAGTTGATAATATAAAGAAAAAATAGATAAATTGTATGTTTTGAGAGTATTTATCCACATTCACTCATATGAATTTCATTAAATAGTGTCTTTTTACTCCCAAATTTATTTTGAATTATTGAAATCAAAGAAAAAAATCAGAAAAATTTCTCGAAATTTTTATTTTCAAAAAAAATTGGATTTTATATTGAAAACTGACACTGGGAGGACGCTAGGGCTGGGATTGGAGATACCCCGCTCACTTGGGAAAAATACGGATCTATAATATCGATATTTTACAACAATTCCCCAATGTATAAACTTTTCATACGCTTTTTCATAAGCTTTATATACCTTCAGAAATTTTGCATAATCTGTAGAAGCATTTAGATATTGTTTAAATGCTTTGTATGTCTTCAGAAATTTTGCATAATCTTTTACATGTTGTTCGTTCTCTTCTTCTGTCATGAGTTCCGAATATTCTAAATTCATGTTCTTTCATATGAGATAAAATTTTATAAAAAAATAAAATTAGCTTAGATTTTTTTTATTCTTCCTCTTTGAAGTTATCGAAATATTCTGTTATTTTTTCCTTCAGTAATGGTAAGTCTTCTTTGAATGTAAGTATTGTGCAACCTTTGATGTCATAGTGTGTTTGAGGAAGAGTATTTTTGACAATTTCCTTTATTTGCTCATTCGTGTCATTGAAATCGGTAAGTTTTCACGATAGAACCAGTTTCTGTCAGATTTATATATCTTAGCTAAGTCATAAAAGCTCTTGTTATTTCTTCTCACTAAATGCAACATAACCATATCTTTATCTTCTTCATTTTCCATCTCTTCAGTATATATCATATACTTATAACTCTTTTCCTTTCCTTTTGGTACTGAACGCGGTATTCTTTTCTGTATGCTTTTGTCTTTGGATTCAATGACTTCATCTTTTGCTTGAAGTTTCTTTTCCATCTCTCCACGTTCTGCTTTATATAGTTCATCTAACATCATGAAAGTATAACAAGCATAACGAGGTGAAGCCCACATTGCTACAGCGTTTACTAAAAGTCTATGAACATAATAACCTTTCAAACCAGGAGCCAAATTCTTGCGATTTTCGTACGGAATCTCTTCTCTCGGTTTTCCGAGGGAAGCAATCATATGAGGAAATTCTTCTAAAAGTTCTTTTGTCTGTTGGTTTTCAAACCAATGATATGCTTGCTTTGTAGAACGAAGAGTGTTCATTATACTTTGCATCTGGTACATATCGTCTTTGACCGAACGAATGAGTCTCAATTGTTTGTTATACTGTATGTATTCATATTCTTCATTAATGGCTTCATGAACGATAGCAGTTGTTGTGTTCTCTAATGTTGTCATTACTGTCTTTACATACAAAATAAAAAAATAAATAAATAAAATACTAACTTTATTTTTTCTGTCTTAAAGAAATGTTAAAAATTCATGATTTTCATGAAGTTTGGTCATTTTCAACATAACCTTCATTGCATGAAAAGTGTCATATATAACATATATATGATATTTTACTTAAAAATATGCAAGCGGCTCATAGCTCAGTGGTATGGACCCCCTTGTCATAAGTGTCGAGGACCTCGGTTCGAGTCCCGATGGCGTTCAGGTTTTTTCTGCAAAAAATTGAGAGAGCATTGAATTTGCAAGTACAAAGGGTCTATTTGGTGTTAGACCCTAGCGAAGAAAATATGGTACTGGAAAGATAGAAGTTTACATTTGTAAAGTTGGACGATAAAATTTACTGACTAACGTCGGTTCGCATCCTGACTGACGTCGGTAGAGACCATGACTGACGTCGGTTCGCATCCTGACTGACGTCGGTAGAGACCATGACTGACGTCGGTATGGAATGCTCTCAAAATCTTCGAAATTGAAAGGTTTATGGAATGACTTCAGGATGGGTCCTGACTGACGTCGGTTCGCGTCCTGACTGACTTCAGGATGGGTCCTGACTGACGTCGGTTCGCGTCCTGACTGACATCAGGAAATTCTATCGTTCTACTTTACAAAATGTAAACTTCTATCGTACATGATATTTAGCTGACATTGTAAACTATCTTCATGTAAAGTATGGCGGTTTGAAACCGTCGGGAACATTCCCTTTTTTAACGAACTTTCCACAGCAATTTTTAAATTTTGTGAAAACTCAACGGTTTGACACGTGCCATATGTCATTTTACTCAGAATCTCACGAATTCAGCAAAAATAATTTTTAGGGTAGATGGGTATATCTAACCTCATTTCTACCCTCATTTCTACCCTCATTATTTATAACCGTTTTACATGGTAAACGTTATTTTTGGAATTTTGTGAAAACTCAACGGTTTGACACATGCCATATGCCATTTTACTCAGAATCTCACGAATTCAGCAAAAATAATGAGTTCATTTACTCACAATATTTTTGTACAAAACGACCCCAAACTTTTAACTTCTTTTCTGCAGCTTCTAATGCTATCTTAGCGAGTTCATATTCTCTAAATTCTCTCTTTAAATCTTCTTGTTCCCATTGGTCTAGTTCGTATGGAGAATCTCTATAACCATAACATATCTCACGTTCATGTTCTAATTGTTTTTCGCGCATTTTTCTAACTTCTTGTTCGAACAAAGGTTTAGCATTCTCTACTGTATCTTCAAGTTCTTCTTCATCTAATTTCTCATGAACTTTCTTGTCTATGGAGTCCATAATTTTTCCAACTGCTATGCAATATTTTGGAGAAGCCCACATTGCTATATAGTTTATAAGTCTTGGGTCTACATACGTTCCTCTAACCTGTTTGATTTCATCAGGAATTCCTGCATGAATTTTGTATAAAAAGCAACCGCCGGAATTCGGACTGTTGCTATATTCTTCACAAAATGCCTTATAATACTCTTCCCAGGACTTATTTTCCAACAACTTTCTAAAGTCTTTCCTAAACTGCTGACACATATTTGTTGCATTAATGTAACCATCCTTGTCTCTACGTAAGACTTCAATACCGTTATAAGTGCCTTTTGTGAATGTTTCGCCATTATATTTGTTAGTGAATGTTTTTGCTTCGACTGACATTTCTGTTCTTACATACAAAATAAAAAAATAAATAAAAATAAAACTAACTTTATTTTTTCTATCTTAAGGAAATTCATGAAAATTCATGAGGGTAGAAATGAGGTTAGATATACCCATCTACCCTAAAAATTATTTTTGTTCATGGGCTATGCCCCGCCGCTTTGCGTCTTTATGTTAAAATAAATGGTACCATTAATGATATCATGACTGTTCTCGTTCATGTCTGATTTACATCTAATGAAAAAGTTTAGAAGAATTTTCTTATTCTTTCTGGCATATTTTTATCTTTCCAGTACTCCCGCTCTAATGGTCCCAGATGAGTTGGTTTAGATTCTCTCAAGTTCTTAGATGGTATAACATCTTCAACGCCTCCTTCATATCTTACTTTATAAGTGTCATCGTTTATGTTATAGCCAAGTATTTCAATAACCACTCCTCGCTTTGCTTCGTCAATGGTTTCAGCAAGTTTGCCATTACTACTTTCAACTAATTTATGACGAGGATAAAACGCAATAGAGTCGTCGGCAGCTTTTATAAGATATCCATTACCTTGCGTAGAGTCTACGATATAATAATTTCGACTTAACCTTAAACGTTTCTTTGTCAACGGTTTGTCGTCAAGAACTACACGAACTTTTGTACCAGGAATGAGGGTAAATTGTGTTGAATTTCTGATATTTTGTGTTTGGCTTCGTTTCTTTTGTATATACTTTTCTTCTTGTTGTTGTGTCATTGAATTTGGTGTATGTCCTGTTGTAGAATGTGTTGAGGAATTATATACTTCGAGAAAATGTTTCATTGTTTCTTCGGTAAAGTCTCGCTCTTGGTTTAAATCTCTGAGCGTTCTTATGAAGCGGTTTATGATGCCGAGTATGTTATGGTTATGGTCTTCAGTAGTGTAGTGAGTTATGTTATGCTTAATGAGAAAATCTGTGATTTCATTGCTGAGGTATGCACTGTCTTGGTCTGATGTTAAAGTACTTGGGCTATGTTCTGCTACAAACTTTTGTAAAACTCTTAACACTTCACGAGTTCCTTTATTTTTCATTGGATATGCATATGCTTTACGAGTGTTAACATTTATAAAGATGAGGAATGGTTTATGTCCTCCTTTTCTGCTTTGAATGAGAGTGTCAAATTGGTATGCGTCAGGAGTGTTGGAGTAAATTGGTAAAAAGTAGTCGTAAGGGTTTATTTTTGTTTGATGTACAACATTTTTGTCAAAGAACCTTTTCACTTCAGCTCTGTTAGTAAATCCCGCATTCTTTGCAGCTTCATTGAACTTCTTAAATGACCTCCATGGTGATGATTCGAATACTTCTTTTAAACTCATTTATGTAAAGTTAAAGATTTTATTCAAGACGGTAAGCCTTGACCCAAAGGGTCTAGGCTCAAGCGCGTTCATTGAACGCGGTACCATGCGAATACAGTCATAAATGGTGGCATATAATCTGCACCCGAGCCTGTTGGATTTGTTGTGAAAGTATGGACATGATTTCCTCCTGGTTCAGTTGGTCGAAAAGTCTTTTTTGCTGAATTGTTATAAGATGGAGATAAAACATCATTGCCAGCTTTATAGTCTGAGTTGTATAATGGGTGGTCTCTTAATGAGTGGCTATGGTCGCCAGAAAAGTTTGTCGTTCCTGTATGAGTGTGCGCAGGTAAGTTTGCTTCATTAATTTTCTTTGAGCCTCCTGTTTGCTTTGAAGAGTTAGCACAGTATAAGAATTTGTCTACAATCTGTTCCCAAGTACCAAAACCTAAAACACTTGCTGGATTTGTTGAGTTCATTGATGTATATAAAGAACCAACAGGATATATAGCTTGCAATATTTCAGTCTTTAATATTTGAAGCTCTGTTTTGTCAGCTTTGTCCTCCATTATATCTTCATAGTTTTTAACTTCAACGATTTGAATGAAAAACTCCGGATTTAAAATCATATCCATTTCTGCAGTTGCTGACCATATTTCTTCATTCCATTCAAAACTTTCACGAATATCTTCTCTATAAACTTCATAATGTACTTCTGTCTTAGTTCTGTTGAAACGTGTATATGTTATACCGTCAATGACTTTAGTTTCATTTGTTCTTTCAAGATATTCAGAATAATCTGAACCAACTCGCACTCCCTTACCTCCTTTTACTGTATAATGCCAATGTTTTTTGTCAGCCTTTTTGTCAATACTTTTCTGAATTATTGCTATATCTTCTGCTCTAGTATACGAACTAAGTTCATCTCTGCTTGCTTTCTTTTCAAGTTCTTCATCCACATAAGTTTTGTCAGCTTTCTTATCTAACATTGCTGGTAGTTCATATGTTTCAAAGTTTCTGACATGACCTTCGATATTTATACATTTACTATTTAAACTATTAAGAGTATCTTTTACGCTTGTACTTGGATTCTCTAAAGGTGCACTTGAACCAAGGGTATAGTTCAATATTATGTCGTCTGCTCTAACAGTAGTGAAGGATTCATGTGTATGGTTCTTGTCAGCTTTACTATTTAATGTAGCTTGAAGTTCATTTATATCGGAGATATTGTGTTTATGAGATTTCAAAACTTTGTTCGTTGCGTCAAGTTCATCTTTGTCAGCTTTACTTTTAATAGCATCTTCAAAAGTTATTTTTGCCTTAACTCTCAACATAAATCTTGGTTCAACTAATACACCGTTAACAAAGAAGTATGAAGCATAAATTTCATTGTTATAACCAAATGCTTCTGGTGCTTTACCTGTGTCATACTGTACAGTACAGCGTATGTCATAACCTTCAGCACGAATGAATTTATATCTTCTTTCATTAACATCTTTTGTCTTCACTCTTTCTTCAGTTCGTGTTAAATATCCATGGTAGTCCGTTATAATCTGTTCATCTGAACTTATATAATGAACATGGTTTTTATCTGCTTTTTCGGCTAATTTCTCTTCTATCTCATTTATTTCAAGTTCATGCCTACCACCACCTCCTTCAGAAGTATTTTTCTTCAGCTCTTGAAGAACATCCACTTCACCATCTTCGGTGTCAATAATGAGACTTTGTGTTAAAACCTTTCCTGTCTTAATGGATGTTTGTAAAACTTCTTCTTCACCGTGTTCGGGGTCATGGTCGTCATCATATCTTGTGAAATCAGAGATGTTGTCATACATTAAGCATATCTGTCTCAAAAGTTCTGCTATTTGAAACTGGAACGAAAGATATACAGAACTTTCATCATCTCCTAAAGTCAAGTCTGCTTTCTTAAGTATTTCTTGAATGTATGCAATGAGAACAGAGTACCTTGGAAAATATTCGAACAATATTTCATTAGCTGTTGGTTTTGGTGGTTCTTCTGGAGTTTCTGTTGTTTCAGTTCCTTCTGTAGGTTCTGTTGGAGTTTCTGCATCTCTTGACTTCAATGCTCTTGCTCTCAAAGACCTAAATGTTAGAGCACCAGGTTTTACAAAGGACTTTATAAATGCTTTAATAGTTCCTGGTAAGTTATTGTTAGCATTAAGTAAGTTCCTTATGCTTCCATCATGTACGTCCATAGCACTATGTAAAAAATCTATACTTTTCTTGTAGTCAGCAATAGACTGACTGTGATTTTTTAAAGATTTGTCAATACCTTTAAGCCAATCTTCATGCATGTCTGATACTGAGCCAAGAATATCATTTGCTTCCTTTAGTGTATTTTGTGCTTCTCGTAAAGTATCCAATCCCGTACGTGCATTGTTTGCTATACGTCTTACAGTATCTATTTGACTCCTTGTTTCTTGCATCCAACCAGATAAAGTTTTAATAGTATCCGAACCATTTGAAATGAAGTTCAAAGCATTTTTAACGTCATCTAAAGCTTCTTCACCAAGTACTGCCCATATCTTTCCGATTTGGTATTGAAGAACTCCATATGAAGCAGCTGTTAAACCAGTATTTATAAGGTTCCATATCCATGATTTAGCAGTTTTTCCATCCTTTCCATCTTCACCATCCAAACCGTTTTCGCCTTGAGGTCCTTGTATTCCTTGTATTCCTTGTGGTCCTTGAGGTCCAGTGTCACCCTTCTCTCCTTTCAGTTCATCTTTATGTTCGTTATAATATTCTAATGTCATAAGGTGTACATCATTACTGCTACCAGCAACGCCGAGAATTTGTTTCTCATTCATGACTAAATTCTTTAGGCATTTAATGTTGTCGTCAAATCGAAAGCTCTTTAACAATTCAATGAGAACATTTAATACTTTCACTAATGAGGCATCTACTGTAGAATTTATATATTGCACCGTTCCATCATTTATGATGGGAACCTTGCTTGTTGTAATGAATGGGTCATAAGTGTTAAAAGTATCGAAATCAATGACTTTTTTAGTTTTTCCATCGTCAATGACTAAATCATTGCCTTCAATGGTTAAAGTTGAGTTTTCGTTTACTAATTCATGTGCTCTTCTTGCTTCATTTGTTTCATACGCATATGCAGCAATAGTCATATTTTAATGAGAATAAAATGTTGTTCTATTTGCAAAGTACAGACCCAAACGAATACGGGACAGTAAAGCTACAAACAAACTTAGGACTTCAGAATGAAGCACTTGCTTTCAGAGTTGTTGACTTCAATACTATCGCAACTTTTGTCATAACAGATGAAACAGATTTCATAGAGATTGAAATAGATGGTGTAAGAAGTGTTATAACATTTCCTAACAGAGCTGGGTATAGAATAGATAAAATTGCTGGAGTCATAGATACTCTCATAAATGAAGAAACTATTGACAACATAGATGTCAAACTCTCTTCTGAGGGAACATTGAAGTTCAGTTATGCGAAGGAGTTTAAGATAACACGAATGAGTCATAGAGTTCAATTGCTTCTGGGAGCATACCATATGACATTTCCTTTGAAAAGTGTTGACAAAACGATTGAGATGAAATCTGTTCCATACGTATGTTATGGTAATTGTTTGTACGTTGAGTCAAAAATAGCTAATGTCACAGGTATTTCAGGAGTTAATAGTAAAGGTTCAGTAGAATATAAATCCTTCTGTTATGCAGTCAATTCAATGTTCATTCCAAATGTTCCTGTCATAGCAACTCATTTAGGTAAATGGGTTCGCATTAGTCCTCATAATTTGAAAGACATGCAATTCAGACTTGTTGACTTTCAAGGAGAGCCTGTAGAACTGAAGGCACCAGTGCGAATGACTGTTGAAGTTGACTTTTTAGAAAATATTAAATGCAACAGCTTACAAGAGAACTCAGAGCTAAAAATATAAAGTATGAATGTTATGTATTAGGTCATGAACTTTGGTTGTTGCTGTTTGATGAAACAAATGAGTTAGTTATGTCAGTCAAGAGAACAGAAAAATATTGTGTTAGTGAAAACTGCACCAAGTCAATAAGATTAGGTTTTGCATTATGAAGATGAGTTCGATACTGTTGAAGAAGTTTTGGATAGATATTACAAATTGCTAACTTGAAATTTTTTTGACTGACTGACTGCTTTAATTTACTAAAACAGATTTCAAACAAAGCTTATAGTCAGTAGATAGTTTTGTATACTCGTTCGAATATCTATACTTAAACTCAACTCCTGGAGTACCTGGCGTTTCAATGATGCGGATGTTACCTATTTTCATGAATAGTGGAGTTTGACCACAGCATTCGATTTCAGGGTCGAGATAGTCAATGACACATTGCTTTCCTGTTATTCGTGATATAACATTTTCAAGGTCCTCCTTTGTTAGAATTATTTGGTTCTTGCTTATAAGATTTGTCAAAAGCTTCTTATCGTCTTTGAGTAAGATAGTTTGATATAACTGAAGAAGGTAATGGTCTACGTTATCTGAAGGATTTGTTTGAACATTTGTGTAAGGATTGTCGTTGGCTTCTCTTGAAAGAACTTGCTCCAGTGGTGGATACTCTAACTTAACATCTGATGTAGCGTTAGCGTTTGAAGCTGTGTTTAAATTCACCGACTTAAGATCTGGTTCTTTTTCTTTCAAACACTCCGAACTATAGTTCTTTATGACAATATTGTTTGTCGTTCGTGAGTCAACATTTGATGTTGGTTCAATTGGAACATTAACGGCACCAGCTAAGATGGAATTGCTTCTCATTTCATATAGAATAAAAACCTTTTATATGTATGAAATGAACAATATACTCGACAAGGGTTTGAATGTAAAGCTAACGAATGAAAATATTGTTGAATTCACTGAGACAGGTGCTGTGTATAAAGATGTAGAACTACTGAACAAAAGAGCTAAGGGAAGAAGCAGGAACATGAACAAAGGGTGGAAGCCTATAAAAATTTATGTCAATGATGGCTCAGGAGGTTCAAACATAAAGTATGCAGAAAGTTATAGAGTTTATGCTCTCAAAGGTGAAAAGCCTTCATTTAAGAACAGCTATTCTAACGCATATCCTCAAAAGCTAACGGATGGGGAAGTGGATGATATGAATGACAGCAAAAATATTAACAGAAATGGCGACAGAGATGCATGGAATTTGTTTACCATCAGTCAATTGAAGGTTAAACTTTAAAACAATGTTGGTCGTTCCCATGGAATATTTTTGACTTTAATGGTATTAGTCATGATATGAATCTCAAGGTATGAACGAGGAGAGATGAGAGACTTATATGCTTCCCAAATTTCTTCAAAAGGTAATGTTATACCTGACTGTTTCCAAATGAGTTCAATATCATAGCGTGAGAAACCTTGAAAGATAACGAAGTCAGTTATGAGACGTTTTATGTTTAAAGCTAAAAACCTCCATGTTTGCATAAGTATTGCTACAGTTAAATGGTAATGTCTGACTTTAGTTATGATGTTAGCTAATGGTGAGTCAGGCTTTGAAACTAAACCTTTTCCGGCGAAGTCGTCGCAAACGAGCAGAGTGTTTGAAGGATATTTTTTGAAGGGGTATTTTGAAAGTTTTGATAGAATGTAGTTTGTCAGTCGTTTCATATCGTAAACTCCTGAGTACTGACGTAAGTGGTGTTTGTCAATAATTCTTTCCATCTCCTCAGAAGTCTTTTGCATTCCTGACTGTATGAACTCTACGATGGCATAATATTTCCTCTTACGTCGAATGTAACGTTGAAGAAATTCAATGAGTTCACTGTCTGGAACTTTAACGACAGAGGCTTGAACTTTTGACATAAATGTTTTCGCTGTTGATCCATAGAGTCTGAAGTTGCTGATATAATGATTTGGTCATAGTAAGAGTCGTTTCCTAAACGCTCTGTTATGAGTATATGACGAATGAGGTTAAATGTCTTACCTGAACCCATCTTTCCACAATAGAAATACACACCATTTGAACAGAATTCATAATCTTTGCTGAAAGGAAGAATAAGAGAAGAGTTAAGTTTGTCTGTAGTTTCATTCATGTCTTCATCTACATCATGTATTAAATGCTTCATTTTATCTCCATTAAAAATGCAAGTCAGAAATATTCAGAACATAGCACCGAGTCTAACTGACAAGAGTATAAAGATATACTATGAACACGTTATGATGAAACCTACCAAAATTCAAGAAAGTCAGTATACTTATGAATATCCAAGACACTGGGTAGAGTATGTAGGAGGTGAGAAAGCTATTGAAATCAGACAGTTCGAAGTATTCCAGCAGGAAGAACAATATTATTGAAGAACTTTAATGTTTTGAGGTATAATGATGAAACAAAGAAGCAAGATAGTTTTCCTGTTGCTGTGTATGTGAACCTAGACACAGGAGATGACATGAAAGTTTTTAACACAAAGCTTCAAACGGTAGTGAGAGAACAACTTACTGCGGAAGGACATCCATTACCTTCAGAAGTTACCATAGCATATAATTTTGAAACAAACTCAATAGATTTTAAAGTCGTCTCTGCAAAGAAGTCAGGTTTTACATTTAATGAAGCATATGTATATTCGAATGAAAACTTCAAAGCTATTGCATGGTTAGATAATGACGATTGCTTTAAGAAAATATTTAAATTCAGTGACTCAAAGATGTCAATAGATGACCTTCGTGGAATGTTACCATCGACGTTTACAGTTGAAGGTTCAGCAGGATTGCTTACAAGATTGTCAATTGGTGGTATTTGGTCTCGTAAGAACATTGTTATAAAATCCAGTATAAGTGAATTTGCTTAAGAATCTATATTATGTCTTTCAAACTATATGTATTCGCCACCGAAGCATTATAGTATAACAAACTTTGTCAGTAAGTTTAACATAAGACTTGTCGAACCTTCTTCAATGAAAGATGTTGTGCTACCTAAAGACGGAAAGGATGGACTCATTATTGAGATGATTTTAATAGCATATTAAATGAGTTTGTTTTTGAAGGTCATTCATGATGAAATAATTGTTGTAGAAGATGTTAGCAATTGTTCAGACATTTTGAAGCGTATAGATGATATAAGAAATAAGTTAGATAGACCGCAAAGCGGTGAGGGCGAAGCCCGTGAGAACGTTTATGTTTCATTGACTTTCTCCAGTAACGAGAACTTTTATGAGATAATATTGAAGAGAGATGATTTTAATATGGTGTAAATGGTAGCTTGGGCAGCTTTAGGCGCAATGGGAACAAAAGCATTAGCATTTGGAGCAAAAGCACTTGGAGCTTATGACGCAGTAAATAAAATGAGTGGAGGGTTTCAAAGACATTAGATGCAAATAAAGGAAAGATTGGAGGCTGGGTTGCAAAGAAGTTAAGATTAAATAAAATAGGGCTCATAAATAAAGCATCCAATTTGGTTGCGACTGAGTCAGAAAATGCTTTAGGAAAGGACGATGAGTTTGCAAAACACGCAAAAGACTTTAATGACCAGATGAAAGGTGAAACAATGCATTTAAATAGAGTCGATGGAACTAAAGAAAATGTTTCTTCTCCACAACTTCCACCAGCGGTTTATCCATACGGACCTTATGGAATGTATGGAAACCCTTATGAACGACCATTTGACCCATTGACTGGTGGAAGTAATTGGTATCATTACGTACGAAGGAGAAAGACAGTCAAGTTGGAGACAGATGTTAAGAAAGCAACTAAAAAGAAACCAAAGAAGAGAGTTATAAAGCAATGAATTCAACAGGATAGAAATGAGGTTAGAAATCGGGTTAGATATACCCATCTACCCTAAATTTATTTTTGCGCTATGTTTTCATACGTGTGAGGGTGGTGATATCATTTATTTTTAAGTTTATTTTTTATTTTATTTTTATTTTATTTTTATATAAATGACAGAACAAAAATAAAGCATATCTACTCAACAGGAATGAGACCCTTACTGACTATGTATTCGTTTAATGCTTGATGAAAACAATGGTACATATTATCGTATGGGTATACACAACGTCTGTTTCCATCGTCGTCGTATATGTAGAGCTCAAATCCAGTCCAACCTTCTTTTGTACAATATGTAGCTTTATTTAAGTATGCATTTATGTAGATAAGGCAATTTTCTTCATCGCTCCAGAAATAATTTTTGTTCTTTGTTGAAATAGTTTTCGTTCCTCTGCGACCATAAGGAATGTATGCAATGAACTTTGCGTCATAAGGGATTGTAATATATTCAGGGTTTCTTTCATCGTCAATGGGTCTGTCTTTGTTAAAATGCATGTTCCTCAGTTTTACTTGAGTTTTGAATAGTTCACGGAAACGTTCTGGGAAAGAGTCATAGTAAATGTAGTCGGACATGTCTTTGTAATGAAATAAAAAATTAAAAAAAAATAAAAATAAGGTTATTTTTTATTTAGTGAGGATGGTAGTGAATTCGTTAGTGAAGTCGTTAGTGAAGTCGTTTATGTGTCAGACGGTTTTGTAAATATTTAAGGTTAAGTTGGTGTTATGGTTGTGTTGTAAAATATACGTTACCTGTTTCGTAAAGTGTCAAACCGTTATCTTGGGTAAGGTGGAACGCAGTGCCGCCGTACCCAAGATAGACATACTAACTAATTTTTGTTAAAATTCTTACTCATTTCTTCACCAATTTCTCTCTGAAGCCTCTTAATAAAACATATGAATCCTTCAGTTGGCGTTTGAGATTATTGGGAACACAATGACACCATCAAACACTTTAATTTTATCATTTATTTTTTAATTTCTTTGTAATTAACCTTTTATTGATTCATAATCTCTTTCTACGATTGTTTAAAAGACATTATTCCTAATATTGATGCATCTAATCTTCAAGATTTTTAATGTCGACTAAAAATTAACGTATTTTTATTCATATTACTTCCAATGATCATGCAAATCATAACAACACTTTTAACCAAAATTGTAATAAAAATTTCTCTCTCAAAAATGATGCATTTTTCATCTCAAAAATTTCAAAATTTATATCGTTAATTTTTCATGTTATATATGATGTTCCTGCTATTAGGTTACTATTATTATGCAAGCTTACACACTGACTATTCATTATCAGAGAGGCAGGTTGTCAACCAAAGCCAGATACTCATTAAAGAATCACAATTCATTAGAAGCTTTGCTGTTGGATTCCGTTTTGATTTACAAGTTGGCGGAGCTATATTCTGCGATGCATCCTCTGTTACTGTTGATACATGCTACTTCCTTCAGAACTATGCCACCCATGCCGGAGCTTTAGGATGCTTAAACAGCGCCCTTTTAATTCAAAAAACAAAATTCAATCAGAATACTGCAAATAATGATATTGGAGCTGTTTGGGCCATGTCAAACAATGAAACATATATTACAGAAACAAACTTTATGTCAAATACAGCTTCTCAATCATTTGGGGCCATATTAGTAAACTGTTCTTACTTTTCAGTCGACAAATGCAACTTCGAACTCAATACTGCATCTACTCTTTCAACATGCATAGGTATTTGCAATGCATACGAAACTTTTCTGACTAATTCATACTTCCAAAAAGAAAGCTTACTGGAATTAATTTATTATGAAAATAATCTTTCTTATAGATCATATCTTGGTATAGGAACATGCTTTTTCAATACTAATTTAGGCACAAATCTTGCCATGGTTGATGGATTTTTGTATATTGAAGTTTATGGATGCACTTGTGGAACAGCTCCAAAGTATTTATTCGTTTCCAAAGATCCAACAACAGTTATTCAATGGAGTGGCACTATTAAGCCTAATATTTCTGATGTTGAAGGTTGTTATTCAGTATTTAAGACTCCATATCCTTCACCTTTACAAACAGTTGCAGAAACTCCTTATATTACTGCCATTAGTACACCACAAGAGACAGTTTTCAATACGCCTTTCTCAACACCTTACGAAACAAATTATCAAACTGTAGCACAAACGCCAAATATTACTCCAGAATCTACTCCTTTCAGTACACCATTTACAACAGCAATAGAAAGTCCGGAGATAACCCCACAGGTGACTCCTCCAGAATCTGAACTTCCAACTCCATCACAATCCTTTGATCCAACACCGGAACCCACTCCAGAAAGGACAGAAAGTATGAGCCCAACACCAGAAGATCAGGATATGGAGTTACCAGATATGCCAAGTGATCTTGGATTAGGATTAGGCCTAGGACTTGGATTACTTCTAATTTTAATAATCATTATCGTAATCTGTTGCTGCTGTTGCAAGAAATGCAAAGACATTTTGTGTTGTATACCGAAATGCTGTTTCAAATGCTGTAAAGTAACATGTTGCAATGACGAATGTTGCGACTGTTTCGATTGTTGCTCTTGCTCTCGTGATAAAGATAGTAAATCAAATACAAATAAATCTTATTACGAAAACCATAGCACTAAAAGGGTTTTCGATCTAGGAAATGTCAAGCTCCCAGGTAGAGAAGAATGTGTTATAGTATTAAATCCAATGTGGAGAAACGGATCAGGTTATAATCATGAATCTTCCGACTAAAATCAATCAATTGTCTCAATTTTTTATTTTTTTTCCGATATAAAAATTTTTGCGGTAAATTTATAAAAGTGACACGACCACATTGATATTATAATGAAAAATAGAATGCCTATTATATGATTAACAAAAATATATTAAAATTAGAGTCATCGATCTGACCGATGATTTGTGTTAGGCTTTTGGTAGGTTTCAATTTATTAATTAGGACTGCGATAGATTCCAAAGAATAGTCTAATGCTGTTTCAATGAAAACCTAAAACTATGGAAGACGATCAATAGAAAATATTTTGCATGACAAACACTTCTCAATTTTTCAAAGCCCATTCAAATTAAATATGGGTTCATTTAAATTTTATTAAAATTTCTAATTAGGAAATACTCCCTAATGACTTTTTTCGATTTTTTTTTTGAAAAATGAAATTTTTATTTCAAAAAATCAGTTCATTTTAAATAATGGGCAAAGAAAAAAAGGTATACGTTCAAATCAGAAGTATAGATCTTGGTGGATATGCTGCCACTGATAAGGCCGAACTTGTTTTATGCGTTGGTCCAAAACATAACTTTATTCCATTTGCTTACGACCTTAGAGCAGGCGAAAAGCACCACATTAATCACACATGGAAATTCCACTTCAAGCATGAAGAAGATTCATCATTTGTTGTTGTTCTCTTCAAGCATCATTTCTTAGGAGACAAAGAGATTGGTGAATTAGAGTTTTTGGTCAAGGGATTTCAGCCAAATACTGTTGTTTCAGATAAGTTTACACTTCAATCTGCAAACGAAGAAGCTCGTCCAGCTGATGTTGAAATGGATATCCACGTTGATGAAGATGGCGCAGCTCCATTCCATGCTCCAGAAGGTTTCATGTTTGATGGAGCTATCAAGAAGCACAATCACATCTACGGTGTTCCAGAAGAGAAGATCTGCAATTAACGGAATATAAAATTTTGACAAAATAGAGATTTATTCAAGAATGATTCATGCATTATTATATTATTCATATACATCATATTTTTTATAAAGTATATTTATTATGACTTATGATTTTTTAATTAAAAATTCTTTTGTTTAATATTGAGCCAGTGAATTATATGGATGTTATTGCCATATGCGAGATAGAAAGTAGATATATGATATTGTTTTGATCGAATTGATCGGTTATTATGATGCTCGTGAAACGATGACATCAATAACTATTTATTCTCTTGAATTTCGCTTTAAAATGAGAAAACATACAGGTTTCAATTATTCATTAGTGATATAATAATTAAATGAAATTCATGATTTTATATTATGAAACAATCAAAGAAAATTATAAAGAAAAAGCTTTAATTCTAGACAGTTTTAGAATTTTATCAAGAATTTCCTTTTTTAAACTATATTTTAAAATTTTATTTTATTATTGCTCATAATAAATGTGTTAAATATGTAGAAAATGCTACAGCACGTAAAAATATAAAAATATTATTTAAACAAACAACAAGAAATAATATAAATAAAATTTAATATTGATCAATAAGATTTTTCAAAGTATCATCATTTGTTAGTTGAGCCGCTGTTGCTCCACTATCATTTTTCAAATCAGGGTTTGCACCATTTGCCAAAAGCATTTCGCAAATTTCGTAATAACCTTTGTAAGCAGCTCTATGCAAAGGAGACCATTTCTTTTTATCAATAGCATTTACATCAGCACCTCTATATATCAGTTCTCTTGCTGATTCGAAGCTACAATTATCGCATGCTCTTTCTAAAGCCGTCCAACCATCTTTATTTTTATAATTGATATCAGCACCGATATCGCACAGATACAAAACAATACTTTCAAAAGCGGCACCTCTTATTAAAGGTGTTGATTTAGTTCTATCAGGGAGATCAAAATAAACTTGTTTTTCAGCGAAATATTTCAACATCGAAACTCTATCATTCATTGCACAAATGTGTGTTACATTCCATCCAGAATTATTAACAGTATTCAAGTTAACATTAAACTTTTCAACAAGTAATTTTACAAAATCAAATTTTCCTTGATAAACTGCCCAAAGAAGTGGAGTATTTCCATTCGAATCTTTAATTTCTAAATTTGCATTTTTGCTTTTCAATAAACACACCATTTCTATAGATCCTCTTTCAATACATTCGAATATAATGGTCTGCCCATTTTGCTGTTTTTGGTTGATATTCACACCGCTTTCTAAAAGTAAATTTACAGTGTCAAAACCGTCATTTAAATCACAATAAAATAAAAGTGACTTTTTCTCAGTATCCAAGACATTTACATTGAAATCATGATCAATTATGTATTTTACCATCTTCACATTCTTTGTTTCTATTGGATCTGTGATAATATTTCTATATCTTGTGGAATAATTTATATCTAAACCTCTACTTAAGAGATAATCAAGAATATTGTATTGATCAAAGAATGCTGGCTGGAATATAGATGATTGATCAAGGTAAACTCCTTTAATATCGACTAAATATTTGAGAAATAATAAATTATTTGCGAGAGCTCGTTTTACGATTGGTTTGATATCAGAATTAATTGAGAGTAAGTAGATATCGAATAATGTATTGTTAAAGAAAGGAATTACTTTATCATTTTGATAATCTAAATTATAATTTTCGACAATCCATTCAAAAATCGAGTTTTGATGCGCATCTAGGGCAAATGATGCTGTTTCTCTGAACGAAATTCCATTTTGCAAGCATGTTTCGAAAATACTGTAATTACCGCCCATAATGACGAATCTTGCAATATCGTTAGTAATTTCTATACCATTTACTAATAAGTAATTGAAACAGTTTGATGAGCCGCATAAAGCAGCAAAGGAAATCAAATCAACAAATAATTCACCAACTTCTATTGATTTGAAACTAAAATTCGTATCAGTTGTTAATGAAGATAATGCGCTAACATCGTCATTGATAATTGAACTTTCAATTGAAAAATCTTGAAAATTCATTTCGTATTTTTCGCGAAAATCATCATTTTGCTGGATAGAATCACCATTATTTTGATTAATTAAGGAGTTAATGTATCTTTGGAATGAATTAATCGTTTTTCTGGATGGTTTGAAGTCTAAACTCATGAATATTTGACCAAGAAGTTTATAAGATAATAATTTGTATGAAGACGCATAAATTATTAGCATTCCTATCGATTCATGATAAATGTGATCGAATGTCTTCACTAAATCTTGAATTTCTTGAAAGTTTTCTTCACTAATATTATATATCATGTTTTCCAATCTACACCAATCTTGAATTTTCGAATCAAGTTTTTCCAAATACTCTTTAGCACTTTCAAACATTGATCCGAAAATTTCTTCAATGAAAAAAAAAATTGACTGAACAAAATATTTCATTGGAGCATACTATGATTTATAAAAGGTAGAGTCACTCATTATAATGTTTCAATTCTTCTACATTTTATGATAGAAAACTGATCTACTTCTTGTACTGAATCATCTCGTGTCGATATATAAGTGAATTCTGTAGATAATTCGTGGGGATAGTATAACTCAAGATTATATTAGCCGATTTTCTCCAAACTCAAACATTTATGTATAGTCTATAGCCAGAGTTTCAGGCCAAAATTTTGGTTGGAAGGAAGTGACTGTGCCTTTGATTTACAAAATATAATTCTCAGGGAGGAGATCTCTGTTATCTCAACGTTTACTAATAACTTGGCCAATTTATTAGTTTCGAGATTTCCAAATCAAATAACAAACCTAGTTTCCAAAATAAAATTACAAATAACACTAATGAAACTTAACGTGCTTTTGTTTCACCTAACGCGTATTATGAATTTTTTATGGTTGGATACGGATCCGAATCTATTGTAAAGAGTTGCTTTTTTCAAATAAAGGGATATCGATCATTTTTGGGTTTCTATCAAAGTACCTCAAATGAAACGGTTTATTTTGAAGATTGTACAATTATTAGTGATGTTCAGCATGATTTGCAATCTTTCAGAACTAAGAACGTTATTCTTACCACATCTAAGAGTGATTATACATTCGTTAATATTCCATATCTTGAAACCGATATTATTGATTTTGACGAAACCATTTTTCATCATTGTTATCAAACACGTTTTAATTATTTCATCATTTTTATTGTTTTAACAAACGATGGACCCAATTAATTTTTATAAAAAAATTACATTCATTTCTGCGCGATTAGTTCAATACATTCATATGCTAAAATGAATATTCATTGTTTGAGAATTGTCAATTATCAGGAAATATAAGTGAAATTGAATAAAAATATGAGCTGTTAAGGACGCACATATTACTTTCTGACATTTTCTCAAATTTTTTTGACACTCAAAGTGTCATGGTCTAATTTTCTGTCATAAAAAGTTTATATTTTTCGCCGGAAGAAAAATTATAATAAACAGCTTTATTTACACAAAGAATATGATTTCGTGTTTAATTAATCTAGGACAGCTGTATTTAATATGGGTAAGAAATGAATAATTTAAAAAATATACTTATTTGTCTATTATCGAATCATATATTCTTTATGAGACTGTAATTGAATGTTCTCTAACATGTAATCACATTGGTCATAATTACACCCATAATAGGCTTGAACTTTGAATTTTTCAATAAATTATTTTTAACGTGTTTTTGTCACTTTTATTTATTTAAAATATCTGAAGAATAAATATATATTAAAGAGTTTAAACTTTTCTTCTTCATCAATAGAATCACGCGTTATAGGTTCAGTGTTCTCAAATATCCTGATAAACGAAGAAGAAACATACACAGTTAATTATCTTGGACCAGATTTATTTCGAATTTTTGTTAGCTCATTCATCTCATGTCGAAATCCTAATTCTAGACTCATCAACATGAATAACGGAATCATCAAATGTTGTTCTTTTAATAATAATTTAGGTCGTTATGCAACGTTATTCTATTCAAATGAAACAGCATCATTTTTATATAATAATGCAGTTAATAACTCACAATATACGCTTATCTATCGCTCAGATGGAAATTATCTCCAAATGATTCAATCTAATTTTTCACACACAAAAAGTCAACATCAAGGATCCATTTCTTCAAATAAAGTTTATTTTCATGAACAAAAGTTTATAAATAATTATAAATGTGGAAATGATACTGGTGGCGCAACAATTACTGTATATTTAGGAATTAGTTTTACCAGTTTTTCAAATTATATTGATATTGAATCTAATGGCGTGAATTTTTTAGTTGTTGGATATGGATCCGAGTCCAATTTTAAGAGTTGCTTTTTTCAAATAAAGGGATATAATTCGTTTTTAGGTTTTTGGCCAAATAAAAATAATGAAACAGTTTATTTTGAAGATTGTACAATTATTAGTGATATTCAACATAACTTGCAGTATTTAAGAACTAAGAATGTTATTCTTACCACATCTAAGAGTGATTATACATTCGTTAATATTCCATATCTTGAAACCGATATTATTGATTTTGATATAACATTGTTTTATCATTGTCAAAATCGTTTTAATTATTTCTTAATTTTTATTATTTTAACAAATGAATCCTAATAAAATCTAATTCAATAAAATCATTTTATAAAATGCATATTGATATTTATCAAAGTTGTTTCATTTTAACAAAACTGTTGATGTTAATGTCACTTTTCATTTTTTATTTCTGCGAAACAAATTTGTATTAAAAAATATAAACTTCTCATCATGTTCATTAGATACACAAATAGTTGGTTCAATATTTTCAAATATCCTGACAAATGATGAAAACGAGTATACAATTAATCATCCAAACCAAGAATTACTCGAAATCAAGATTTGTTCATTTATTTCATGCCGAAGTATTAATTCACGTTTAATCAATATGAAAAACGGAATTATTAGCTTTTGTAATTTTAATAATAATTACGGGAAGAAAGCATCTATATTTCTTTCTTATACAACAGGAATATTTTTATATAGCTGCACAGTTAATACTTCACAGTATGATATGACATTTAGAGGATATGATAAGAATTTGGAGTCAAATCAATCAATTTTTTCTCACACAAATTCTGAATATCAAGGTTGTTTCTCTTCAAGTGGTACTTTGAATTTTATTCAAAAATATGTTAATTTTTATAAATGCGGTACAGATCGTGGAGGTGCTTCACTCACAGTTTATATCGGTAAAGGCGATATTAGTTATTCAAATTATATTGACATTGAATCGACTGGTAAAGTTTTTATGTTTGTTGGCGCAGGATCAGAAACTTTAATCAAAAGTTGTTTATTCGAAATCAAAGGATTTAAATCATTTCTAGGATTATATGGAGAAAAAAATACCGAACGCGTATATTTAGAAGATTGTAATATTATTGGTGATGTTACACATGATATGCCATATTTGAGTACTAAAAATGTTATTTTTGATTCCACAAAATCTGATTATACATTTGTCAATATTCCTTTTCTCACAACCGATATCATTAACTTTGAAATAAGTGTTTTTTATCATTGTAAATTTTTCAACCTCAGCTTTTTCTTATTTGTTTTGATTATATAGAAGAAGTAAAATGCTGGATTTAATGAAGCATAACAAATGAGATCTACGCGTATGGATTTAAAAAAGTGAGAGAGTTCAAATGTTTAAATTCGAATTTATACAGTTTTTGATATTCTTACACCATTCTAAAAATTTAAATATAGTAGGGAAAGTAAAAGAATCATATGCTCAGAAAATTGTGAGATCACAATGAACTTTTTGAATACTTCCATTTGCTTGAGATTTTAGTTAAATCTTAAAACCGTTTTAATTGAAAATTTTTGATAAGGCATCAACAGAAAAGAGTTCAATGTGCAAAATTTGAATAAAACTTGATATTATAATAGTATTATTGAAAGAAACTCAAGGTCGTTCTTTTCATATTATGCTTTTTTTGGTAAAATTTAAGGGAATTATTTATCCAAATATCAGAAATAAAAATAAATTGAGCAATTCTTGCAATGAATTAAGGGTTTCGTTTTGCGAAAAAAACGTACAATACGCAATTTCGCTAAAAAAACATTTAGCTAGCAATTTCGACCTTTGACTCCACTCAAGACGTCACTTTTTTAATTTTGCGGTATCATATTTTTGGAAAATCTTTATGAATATTATATAAGAAGTCTCTTTAATATCTATATTTCATATTTTTATCGATTTTTAAAGTTTTTGCGAAAAGTATTCAATTATTTTTGCTATTTGGTCGGGTAAATGTCAGATTTGCGACATTTTCTGATATGATATTCAGATTCTACGTTGATAATAATGCTTATAGTGTAATAAACAGAAATTCATCAAAAGTGACAGCTCTCAATTTTTTGACATTTGTAAATTCTAAATTGAATGAGAAAAATGAAATAATACTAAGCATAATACAATATTCTAGATTTAATTATAATTAGGAAAAGTTAGTTTTGAGAGTACTTTTCATAGGTATATAGAATGAAATCTTCTGAAAAATAATATCACATAAACTCATATTATTTTCTAATATATAACTATTTTATATAAAAATCAAATTCAATGATCTTAAAAGCGAAGGATAAACCTCAAAATTTACGAATATAATGAGTGGGAATAGGAGTAAAGCAAAAATTGATATTTCATATGGTTTTATGATAGATAAGCATTATATTCCCACTCATTATATTCGTAAATTTTGAGGTTTATCCTTTGCTTTTAAGATCATTGAATTTGATTTTTATATAAAATAGTTATATATTAGAAAATAATATGAGTTTATGTGATATTATTTTTCAGAAGATTTTGTGTTCTTCTTCAAAATTTTATTTTTTATTAAAAAGAATCTTTACAAATATACATTTACTTTAATTAATATTTAAAAACGTGCTCTATCAAAAGTTCCAAAAATTCAATATTTTAGCTTTTCTGAGGTGTCACTTTTGATGAATTTCTGTTTACAACAATAGAACCTTCTTGCTATTGTGTCAAAATTGCGAAACCGATAGCAAAAATATCTCGCAATATCAAAATTGAGATATTGAGTGAATTATGCATTATAGAGATTAAAAATCTGATTTGTGAAAACATCTCATCAGTTTCTAGCTAATTCAAAATCTTTACTATCTTATTCGATTAAAATGAAAAGGGAATAGTTTCATTATGCTTTAAATGACAGCCTTATAATCTAATCATAGTTTTCGCTCAATATGCAGCATTTTTTTTTCGAAATCTATGGTCAATATCCTAAATACTGATTGCTTTGCATTCATATCTCTTACATTTTCTATACCCACATCACTATTCATTGCTATTCCTATCTTTTTCATTTTTGTTTGTTTCTCTCATAATTTCTCAAAAAACATGATAACTTGATATTTGTAAATATCATACTTTATAACGTAAATAAGAACTTGACCTATTAAGAAAAGCAGTAATGAAAAGAAAATCTGAAATTCATAAAAATTACAAGTTTCTGATGACAATTAGCTTAATTAAACCAGGTACAGATTATATAATTGTATTTTTATCCAATTATCCATATAATATCTTATCCAGAAAAAATAACTTGATCAATACCAAATGATTTTTTAACTAGTAAATAAAGTATTTTCTTTACACACACATTGTATATCATAGTTTTTTTTGGTTTCGCAAAACATCCAAAAACAAATATGCTATAAAAGTGACAATTTTAGCAAAACGAAACCCTTAAATGAATATTATTGTTAATAGATGATAATACGATTTAGTTACTAATTTTAGAAAAAAATACAAAATTGAAAATGAATAAAAACAAGTGAATAAATCATAAAATTAAAATTTGAATAAGGTTAAAGGACAAAATTAAATTTGGAAGTTTTGTCTGTTGTTGAGTGTAAGCCGATAAGACATGGACTAATTAAGTATGATAGTTGGATATAAAATTCATTATGAATAATTTAAATGAAGAAAGTCGGGAAATAAGATTTTTTGTGCACTCTTGTCGGTCGCCATGTCTCATTCCGGGAGACATTGACTATGCATGTCTCCCAGAATGAGACAATCTTATGCAATCAGAATGTGATTGCAAAACTTTGACGACAAGAGTGTTTTGTGCACTCTTGTCGGTCGCCATGTCTCATTCCGGGAGACATTGACTATGCATGTCTCCCAGAATGAGACAATCTTATGCAATCAGAATGTGATTGCAAAACTTTGACCGACAAGAGTGTTTTGTGCACTCTTGTCGGTCGCCATGTCTCATTCCGGGAGACATTGACTATGCATGTCTCCCAGAATGAGACAATCTTATGCAATCAGAATGTGATTGCAAAACTTTGACCGACAAGAGTGTTTTGTGCACACTTGTTTGTCATATAAATTGACTATCATAGAACACCCATTACATATATTTTTTAAAATCTAATTTTCCATAATTAATATTTATTTTTCATTTTTTGTGCTTTATATAACTTATGGCATGTACAGAACTATTTTACAGACTATGCTGAGCTATTCCCACATATAAACATTTGACAATAACCCATACATACTCCCTTCATATTCTGATCTCATGACATATTACCGCAAAAACTATATTTATACAACACACCTCATAAAGTCTCATTTTACCCCTATTAAAGCGTTCAAAACCTATTTTCCCGCTGCATAGTTACAGCCTCTTCGATTGCTTTTACCCCGTGTAATCTGATTCTTCAGGTTCCGCTGATTCGATTTCTGCTGTCAGATCGTGAAAATGTGCATCATATAGCAAGATAAACGCAAATTACTTAACTTAATATTTTCCTTAAAATTTCTCTTCTACTTCTTACTCAAACAACAAAATTTTTAAAAATATTTTCGCTTAATCTTATATTATTCATTAACAATCTTTCCTATTCTTATATCTAGTTAATATATCAATATCTATATTGAATCTAATATTTTTGCATTTTTTATTCTCATCTTAACTTCTATAAATGTCACCAAAACATTTCATTCCTAGCAAGAAACAATATATTAGTAATTATGCGTTTATCACCATTGTTACTCACATCATATTAATTCATTTTCATATTTTTTTAAATAAATGACTTGGGCTGTGCTGAAGAAGAAGCTTTTTATTTGGCATTTCAAGAATAATATCAAAGACATGGATGATCTGCGACAAAGAATCCTCATTTTATGGCATGAACTAATAACCGAAGACTTTTTAACATCTCTATACAACTCTTTCAAAAGAAGATTGTACATGATTATCGAATTTGGAGGAGAATGTATTCAAAAAGTCCCAAAAACGGAGAGACATTTAACTGAAGACAGAATCAAGGCGATAAACAAAAGGATTAATGAAGAAAACATTCAGCCACCGTTAATTGGGGAAATCTTGCAAGGGAAAGATCGAGAAGACTACATCAAAAACAAGGAGACTCGAGAAGGTGATATCTTGTGGGATAAAGTAAAAGACGAAACAGTCAAAAAGCTTTTTCTTAACAAGCCAGGAAAATTGACAGAGATTGCAAGGACGCTTAATACTGAGAGAATTGATCTGATAGAAAAAAGGGCCTACCAATTGGTTGGACAAGTTTCAAAATCGAAACATCATTTTGACTCTTCTGATTCTTCCGACTCTTCAGACTCTTCAGACTCTTGTGATGATTTTGATTCTTCTCCTTTGGAACTATCTGAAAATGATTTTATTATCGATTCTGATAGTGAATCAACAGCTCAATATCAACAGATGTTATGGGCATCCATCGCTAAAAGCACAGAAACAAATGTTTCCGATTTAATTGATTCACAACAAAGCATCAAAACTAAGAAGAAAAAAAAGAAAATTTCCAAGGATGAAATGAGCTATAATCCAAAAAGGGAGAAAACAAAGAAAAAGAATGAAGAAAATAAAATACCAACAAAATTATCTAATCCGTTTCATATATTTTATAATTTCCCTTTCAAATTAGAGCTTCCAAGTGAGTACGATTTTCCAGAATTTTTAAGGAGCAGTGAAAATTCAAAAAATCAAATCGAAGAGGCTGTAACTTCAAGAATCCATGAAGCACGTCAAAGAGTACCACGAAATCCATAATTTGATGCTCGACAGAAAAAACGAACAGTTGGTATGCTGAAAACACAAATACAAGCATTGCATGGCAATATCTCCCAGTTTGATAAAACTCTTCTCATCCATCATCATCAAATTCTTCAATGTCAGCAATCCCTTGATCAAAATGAAAAAGCATTAGAGAATTTAAAAACGACTGTTTCTCAATTCATGTTTCAATTGTCTCTTTATCAAAGAGAAATTGATCGTAACAAAATACAAATACAGTCGTTGCAAGAATCAAAAGAGGCGTTATTAATGTTTCGGATGGATTGTATTCAAAAATTACAATCATTAAATCTAAGAATCAATGAGTTACAAACCGATACAAATATTGCAAATAATCCAATTCCAACAATACCCCAATTGGAGGAACTTAACTATTCAAATCCGGCACATCAAGAAATAATCAGTGAAACTCCAAGACCTATGGCACCTGGCGTTTGGATTTGTCCAGAAACATATAATTGCCCAGCTTATGAACAGAGGAATGATGATTCGAATCCACTGCATTTTGATCTTGACTACTTACAAAATAATTATAACAAGTATCATCAAAATTCTCCATCTTATGTTATTAATCAGATTCCTCAACCAATGAATCAGTATTTTCCAATTAGGACTCAGAATCCTCAACCAATGAATCAGAATCCTCAACCAATGAATCAGTATTTTCCAATTAGGACTCAGAATTCTCAACCAATGAATCAGAATCCTCAACCAATGAAACAGATTACACCAAGTGTATCAACAGAAAATCTTCAAAATGAAAATGCACATATTTATAATGCACTTTTCAATTATTCTTCGGTAAAAAAATTCTCTTCCCAACTTATCAGGAAAGGATCAATTTAAATGAATTGTACCAAAGCAGAATTATTGCCATTTCAGATTTGAATACTTTTAATTCTCAATTTCTACTAGCTACAAAACAACCATTCGATGTGATGATTAATAAAATTACTGCTATTGAACAAAAGTTAAATGTTGCTCATAAAAGAAGATCAACTGATAACTTAAAAGCGTTACTGAAGAGGCCATTGATTATGTATCAAAGGTCAATGAAAAAATACATCATTATTCCACCGAAGCAATCAGAGATAGTTCAAAGAATTCAGAATCTATTTAACTCAGAAGTATTTACACCTCAACAACGAGGATATTTTAATGCATTTTCAAATGCATATCTTAATTCAGATGGACATAAAAGCAAAATGTTCGAAACATTTCTGAATGGTATAACTAATTCAGGGAATACCTGTTATATGAATTCTATTTTATCACTATTGGCAAATATTCCAAAATTTAAGTATATTATTTACACTTGCGATGAAAAATTACAAAGCGATCTTTTAACCGAACTCAAAATTCTTTTTGCAAAACTAGATTTCATTAATCATCCGAACGTAACTGCGGATAATATCATTGAAATTCTTCGATCACAAATAATAGATATTAATTTTTCAGAGCAACAAGATGCGCAGGAATTTATTTTGGTTCTTCTTCAAACAATCCTTAAGGGTGCACCCGCATGTACGTTTATTTGAGAGGAGGAGAATTACCCTCTCAATTTTGAAAGCTTCGTTAACTTAATATCTCGATGAATATTGGATTAAAATTGAATTTGCCCATACCAATATATCTGATACAATATCCTTAAGTTTTACTAAAAAGAATTTTTTAAAATCCCTGCAGATTCGGGGATTTTTAAATTTTTTGATTTTTTTCGAAAATTTTTCGGAAAAAAAATATTTTCAGAAGAGCCTTAACGGCTAAGTTTTATGTTTCATGTTGAGTATCAAAAAGAATGGGCATCTGATATAGCCATCATATATCCCAGAAGCAAATAAAAATTCTGACTTTTTAAGCATAAAAAATGAAATTTTATTTTTTTGCAAAAAACAGGCCACCCGGATGTACGTTTATTTGAGAGGAGGAGGATTTAATTTTTGAAAGCACGAAAATTTGTAAATATGCGAGTTATATAATAATATGCCTTATTTTAAAAAATAAAAATTAAAGCACGTTAAAATCTTTTTTGATGAATTTTTACAAAAGCTACTCAGGATAATGCAAGATATGAGTAGTTAAACATAAATTTCAAATCAGATTTTACTTATAATAAATATTTTAAATTTCCGAAAATTAAGTTCAGATCGACTCTATACGTAGTAAATACTAAATAAGGTGCCAAAAACCTATTAAACAGTATCAAAACTATCAAGATTGTAATGTTTTTGAAGAAAAATTTATAGAATTATGGACTTCAAACAGATATTATGTAAATAAAAATAATATAATGAATTTATTTATTCGTATAATAGCAGTAATAAGTCGATTATTCACTTCTACTTCGGAGATTTGAATTTAATTTCGACAGAAAAAGAGATTCAAGAGGGAAATACTAGGGGATACAAACAGCCACCATGACAGGATTATTATGGAGCCAAGTTGTATTTTTTGATATTTTTAGAGTTTTCCTACCTATTTAGGTACCAAGTTATTGCTTAAAAATTAAGGTTCTAAATTCTGAAGTTTACATGATCCTCCCGGGCGCACCCTTAAATCTATCCCTGATGAAAATTACAGTCATGAAATATCAAATATGTTTATTGGAAGAACTCAACCTCATACATTCGTTCCAGATATCAATCTTACTAATATTCAATCACAAGAATTCATGTCATTTATATTTACTCTTGAAAAAGATACTACTTTAATAGATGAAATTGTGGAGTATACTAAAACAAAGGAAATTGATGAATATGTGGAGAATGGTGTAACATATAAAGCATCTCAAAGATTGACTCTTTTAGAATTACCTCCAATTTTACTAATTGGAATAAATCGACGAAAGTTCTTTTACAATCAAAATCACCAACTTGAATACAAAAAAATTGATTGGAAATTTGTGTTTGAAGAAACAATTGATCTTAAACAATTTATTTGCATAGATTCACAAGCAGATGATCAAACACCTGAAACACAATTTTCTTTCTACGGCTGCATACTTCATATTGGTGGAGCCAACAGTGGACATTATATCTCAATCATGGCAGTCAATGGAAATTATTTTCTATTTAATGATGATAGAGTTGCATATATATTTAGTGGCCCATTAGACTCTGAAATGAATTTTTATGATCATATAAGTGATGGAATAGTAAAGGAGAACATTCAAAAGCGATGCGTTTTGCTTATGTATGTAAGGAATGATCAAATTATTCAAAACTTTACACCAATTTTTCATTGTGATGTTCCAGATAACATCATTGAACAAATACATTGGCCTCAAAATCTTTTCGAAAAAGTTCTGACAACATATCACAATGCAAACGAATAATTTTTTTCTCCATTATTAAAAAAATGCATTATTCTAGATTTGAACCTTCGCCCGTGTGTTTATTCCAGTATACTACGGGCCTATTCCGCCCGTAATTTAATATTTAATTTAAAAAATATTAAAAAGAAAAAAAGATTCAGGAATAAATAAAGAATTCATTTTAATCACTAAAATCACTTTTGAATACATTCAAATTTTCAATGTCTGTAATAAACAGAAATTCATCAAAAGTGACAGCTCTCAATTTTTTGACATTTGTAAATTCTAAATTGAATGAGAAAAATGAAATAATACTAAGCATAATACGATATTCTAGATTTAATTATAATTAGGGAAAAGTTAGTTTTGAGAGTACTTTTCATAGGCATATAGAATGAAATCTTCTGAAAAATAATATCACATAAACTCATATTATTTTCTAATATATAACTATTTTATATAAAAATCAAATTCAATGATCTTAAGGGTATAGTAAACTCAAAATTCTAGAGTTTTGAGAGTGCCAATAAACTCTATAGGCCTATATATATCTATATTTTAAAGGAGAGGTTACGCCATAATATTTGATATTATAAATTATTAATTCAAAATAAAAGTAGAAAATGAAACTAATTTTATTCTAACCTATATAAATATATCAATAATCTAAAATGATTATAGTCTGAACTATATTTTACCAGATTATCAAATATAAGAGAAATGAAATAAGGCATAAAAATATCATAGCATAATTATTGGATAAATGCATTAATAAATTATTTATATCATAATGAGAAAAAATCAAAATAAGAAAATGAGCATAATAATAATTAATTAAAGTAGTATATGAGTGCGGGTTTAGTGACTTTTTTTGTTACATCTATATATAGACGATGCATTAAAATATATTTATTTATAAATCATTAAAAAATTAACATTAATTTTAAAATAATTTATTTTTTTATCTTTTATAAAAGAAGTTATATATAGATGATGTCAGATATTCCGCGATTAATTAAACATTGTTTAAATCCTGAATGGAATCAATGGAGTCATAATCAAAGACCTCATATACGAGAGAGTAAAAGAAATTAGAAATAATTATTTTCATGAATGAAAGATTCACTAATAATGAATAAAAAATAAAAAATAATTTTTTTTAAAAATTCATGTCTCAGAATCAACATTGAACTTTAAGAAACTAATGATTATTTGAATTTATGATATCAATTATTTGATTTATTCTTTCTTCAATCTCTTCTATTCTTTTTGTTAAATCATCTATTTTCATTAATGAGGTGATTCTTGATTGAGGAATAGATTTCAAACTAATCACTCCTTTTATTTTTGAAATTTTGAATCCATCAACTTTAAACATTTTATTCAATTTACATGTTGTCAATTCTTCAAATAATTTTTTATTATTAGCATAATAGTCATTAAATTCTTCAACAGATGAAAAATTTTTTATTTCAGTAATTGGTTTAACAACGTTTATTTTTTGTTGAACATTTTCACTTTCATTTATTTCTTCCTCCTTTGTTTCATTTATTTTTAAAATCGGTTTCATTTATCATTAAATAAAAATTAGAATATAAGTGATGAAATATATTTTTTAATTAATATTAAATCAGAAATGGCGGCAGGATTCTTTAAAAAATTATGGGATGGAATTAAGAAAGCTGCAGGTTGGGTTCATAAAAATTATTAAACCCGTTGCAAACTTTTTGGCACCAGTAGCGAAAACGGCAGGAACTATCATAGGTGGAGTATTAGGTACTAAAGCAGGTAATCCGGCGATGGGAGCACAAGCAGGTAACGCAATTGGTGGAATAGCTGAAGGAATACTTAATAAAATAGGGGGTAGATAGTGGAAAAATAAATAAATATTATTTTTATCTTAGTATCGGTTGAAGTCTTTGATAAACTTTTTCTCCTTTATTTAAAATTTCTCTTATTGGGGCAGCTTTTGGTGTTATTGATTCAGCAACGTCACTAATTGCTTCTTTATTCTTAAATATCCAATTTGCTCCTTTCTTCATTGTTTCCCAAACTTTATGCGCTCCTCTTTTTACTTTATCCCACAGTTTCTTAAAGAATCCTGCAGCCATAGTTGATTATTTCATTAAAATTAAAAATTCATTTTCATCTTTTAATTTTGATTTTTTATTTATTAATAAATGACGACTAACTATTTAGTGCCAAACACCAAACCGATTAATGGAAATGTGTTTCATTCATTCGAAAAGATAAATGGAATATTCGCAAAGAATGATGGAAGAAGATATTATAGAGAACTTGAAAGTTCATGCTATGACTCTGATGCTCCATATTTTGATGATAAACAAACTCATTTAAGAATTACAAATCCGGCTCATGATGTGAACCAATTTGGTGACACATATATTAAACGCAAAGTTAAAGCAACTCTAGTTTCAAATAAAGCTTTCACATGTGATGCCGCTTTTAAATGCATGCGTTTATTCGTTGGTTACAAATCATCAAATCAAAGCTTTAAACAATTAGAAGTAGAAACTGAAAGAGGTGATGCCGGTTATCTTCAGATGGAATGCGCCCGTGAATCTTTTGCATTTGCAACATATAAACCAAAATCAGAAAGGAAAGTTAAAAAGTTTGTTCATTCGTTATATAATAATGTTCAAAAATATGATAACTCAGTATGTGGTAAATATATTGACCCTTCAGAAGTTTTCAAGAAAGCAAATGATGAAGTTGATGTCACTTTTGATATGATTATTCCGGTAAATGATTTGTTAGCATTTCAGGCGTTCGATGATTATCCTAAATCATTTGGTGAAATCATTCTTAAATATTATGTTTTCAAGGATACTTTAGTATTTTGTCAGGTTGACCCGTTAAGAGTTGCTGATTTACAAAATTATGTTTATGAAAAGATAACTGATGAAAATTATGAAAAGATTATGAATCATGTTTATAAATATGATCGCAAATTCCAACAAATCGGACTTCCTGCCAAATTAATTACAGGCTTAGCCGCTACATCTGCTGACGCAACAGTTGATGACGTTATTATTTCATGCACAAAGATGGAAGTTTTAGAGGATAAATGCATTACACCAGGATACGGTTTAACTGAAGAATCAGTTAAAGCAATACCACGTTTATTTAGTAAGGAAGATCCATTCATGATTCCAGCTCAACATATTGACGTTCGTTCACTAAATGGAGGTTGCATCACTCCTGAAGGTATCAGCTCAGATTTCTCATACGCTCTTCATAATGTTTCAGATGTTGTGTTAGCATTTCCGAAGAATGCAATGCAAAGAACAGTTTTAGAAAATCCAATGCTTCGAGGTCTTCAGGTCACTATAGATTCCAGAAACTTCCCCGATCAAGCGATGACCACAGTGGGTGACATATTCTTTACACGTATGCTTCAAGCTTCTGATTTAGATGGAGTGAATGAATGCACAGAAGAATACGAGGACTCATTAACTAGACCACTGAATGATGATGATGGCACACCATTAGCTAGAACATGGAAAGACCAAACTTCATTCTTATGCACTATTCCAGTTCAACGTGATGGAGCGGGTATATTCTTTGATGGATTAGAAACTTTCAACTCACAAGTTACAGTACAAGTGAAAGCTTATCCAATCATTCAGGGTGAAAATGACACTTACTGTTCAAAAGTGACAAATCCTCCTCAGGTTTGGTTTACTAGGACTACATATTGGACATGGACACCGGACGAAGGTTTGAAATATCATCCAACAGGTACACCACCGCAGTATAGAAGTTCATATGATGAAATATTGATGAATAGAAATGTTTAAAATTATAAATTTATTTTTGATTAAATGGATTTAAATTCATCCACTCCTTATGAAGAATTAGCGGGAGTATATAATACATACGTAGATGATATGATTAATGAAGCATTGAGTGATAATAGAAATGCTCTATCTAAGGAAAAATTAATGAAAATTCCATATTCTGAATGTTACTTAAATTCAATCACTGCAGCAATTGGTAAACAAAATAAAGGTAAAACATTAACGATATTAAAACAAATTATCATTATTGCTAACACTTCCCCCATTCACATGTGTTAATTTATATCAACCGTTCAGGTTCACCTTCAGATAATACATTTGAATCTTTAAAGCATTTAATCAAAATTCCAATTATTTATTTATCACAAGAAGAAGCAGAAGATTATTTAAAAAACTTTTTAATGTATAAAGAATTATATAATACAATCAAGAAGCAAGGATTAGAGGATAAAATTATTGATAAACAACGGGATGAATTATTTGAAACACTTTCCATTTCAAATTTTGATAAAGAATTTTTGCATTCACTAATTTTTCTAGATGATGCCGTGAAATCAAAACTAATAACAAATGAGAAATCATATTTTAATCAGTTATTAACTCAATGTCGACACATTCAGTGTTCATTCTTCATGGCTGTTCAATACTTCAAAGCATTAAGCACAAACATTAAATCAAATCTATCAACCTTTTCATTTTCAGTGGGTTTAGTCGTCAACAGTTGAACGTTATGCTTTATCAAGTGAATTTACCAATGAGCATTAATGAACTTTACACACAATATCAGCAATTAGGTGAACATGGAAAAATAATAGTTGATTTAAATAAAGGAGGTGTTAAATTTGATTAACTTTTTATAATTAATTTTATTTTTTATTTATAATTAAACATGACAGAAATAGCAAATCTTTTACAGGTTCCATTAAAACAAGGGACAAACAAAAGGGGTGCATATAATAGAACTATGAAAGTTCCAGACGGAATGAAAGAATTAGTTCATATTGTTGCTGGTCTTCAAAAAGATGTTAAACAAATGAGAAACGTTTTAACATTACCAGAAGCTCAAGCATATGCCAAACGTCATGGTCCAAATTGGGAAGCACACGAAGCAGACATTACAGGTCCAAATGGAAAACCTGATGGTATAAATGAAGTTTTCGTTACTGATGGTCAAGGTAATATTAAAGTCATAAATGGGTATAAATTAACTATATCTGATTATCCTAAACGTAAAGCATATAATGAATGTTATCCTATGCAATTTGATGAAAATGGAAAAGCTGTTAAACAATACATTGGAGAAGGTGAACATGGTTCAATTAATTCATACCGTCATAATCCATATTCTTATTTCAATGAAGAATTAAACGCTATTGAAGAGGGACCGGATGGATTACCACGATATGTTAATCAGTTTGATGGTCAATATACAAATTTGAGACCTGAAATTCCAGCTAAGAAATTCTTTAAAGTTGCTTTATTCGATCCAGTGTTCAATGAACAGAAAGAAGCAATGAAAGCAGAATTTAAACCAATTCAAGTGGCAAGAATTTCTTCATCTTCACTTTCAGAAGCGTTCAAGGAATTGATAAAGAAACCACTTTATTCTCAACAAGGTTATAACTTTGATTTAATTAAAGAAAGTGATAGACGTAAATTAGAAAAATCAGTTGGTTTTAAGAATGCATGTAATGAAATGATTAAAGATATTGTAAATGATAAAATAAGACTGGAAGAAACTCAAAGCAATATCAATAACATAATTGGTGCAGTTACAAAGAAAGTATAAGCAAACAATGATGAACCTTGGGATATTACCGTAACAACTAAATAAAACTTTAAATATATTTTTCTTTTTTTATTCAATTATAAATGAGAAGACGTTTCACAAGTCAAAAGAACACAAACGCAAAAGCAGAGATTACGGTTGGTTATAACGTAAATGATGATAAATCACGAATTATTCAAAATGTTAAAGTTAATGTTAGCCCTGAATTAACAAAGTCAGCAACTCAACCAAATTTATTAACTCGTGACTTACCAAAGAATGAGGAGAATGAAGACCCAATCATTTTATCTGAACCCGGTAAAGAACCCGTTGAAATTCCCACATATCCAACATACCCCCCACCTCTTTCATCAAACATCGAGAACTCAGGAATCTACGATTACAGTCGCAATACGCCATATAAAATAGACATTAATTCTGAATTAATGAAAATTTACCGTGATATAATAATTAATAATTATGATTCAATAATAAATTTAATTGATCAATCCGGTTTAATTATTTTACCTTATGAATCATTAATTCACATTATCGCCATTCTTTGTGATGTTCAAGATTCAGACGTTAAGATTCAATTTTTCATAGATGATGAGGTTTCATGCTGCGGAACAGTTGCAAAAATAAATCCTATAAAGGATATTAGCACAATTAAGATATCAAAGAATGGAACAACAACTGAACTTCATTTAACATATAATGATATTTATAATAAAATAGTTGATGAATATAAAATATCACTTGAAAAATTCTTTGTTAAGGCTATTTAATATTCAAGCATTAACATTATTGAATAATAATCCTTTGAATCATAATCAATAATAATTGACCTTTCACCAGTTTCTATCGTTTGTTTTATTTCTTTTTGTTCCCCACTATCTGGATCGGTCATTGTAATTGTTTTTGTTATAGTATCAGCTTTATCTTTAACTTCAATCTTTTTTCCATCGGGATATTTAAACCAAAATTCCAAAAATTCGATATTGTCAATCTGTTCATATTTTAATCTATCAATTACATTTTTAATACCATCTGAAAATCTTATGAAATGGTCATTATATGGGTTTGATTGAACTAAATTTGAATGAAGTGAAATATAACCCGATGATGAATATGACATTGACTCATATTTTCTGAAAACACTAAAATTTATAACATGAATGAATTTCTTATTCGTTGAATTTATGAATTCTTGAGGTAATCTTATTCTAGTTTTATTTATCACTGGAAAATAACGCTTTACCATATTTTTAATCGTAATAAAAAATGTCAATTATCAATATTATTTCGAATAATAACTGTGAATTAAATTTAACAGTTAGCGGAATTTATAATGTTACTCTCGTTTCTGTGAGTGGTAAATTTAATCCCATTCTTTTAGACCCTTCAGATTATATATCATTTATTAAAGATGACCTTGAAAAAACGTATGATATGTATATAAATAATGTGATAACGAAATGGGATATTAACATGATTTTAAGTTATTTAAATGAATCATTTATCGTATGGTATGAAGAAAATTTTAAATCAAAACCCGATAAACTTTTTGAACTTGATGAAATAAATAACCTTATTAAATTTCCGCTGAAAATTAAATTTTGTACTCCTCATCTTCGTTCATTGTTGGGGATATTAAATTTTGAAAAAGATGTTGGGGATGTTTTGTATTCTGACACTGGTTCCAATTTCATTTTAATCAAATGTGATAAAGTTAATACCCCAATGAGATTTTCACATCAAACATTAGACCCTAACTCTTACCCATCAATACAAAACATTTTATCCATCAACTTAAACACATTTTCTTTATCATATCCGTTTCAATTATCCGGGAATTCATTTATTCTTCATTCAAAAGATTTATCAAATATTAAATTTAGAATAACCGACCTATTTGATTGTGATTTAGAATTCATGAATGAAATATTATGGCAATTTCAAATAGAAAAAATAGCTGATGAGATAACAGATTAAATATTTATTTTTAAATCATAATAAATGATTAAACAACAGCAACCACAACAACTTAAGGCACAGACCATTACATACGCCATATATGCATATAATTCAAAGACGGCAGAACAAACGCAAATGTTGAAATATGGAGATTTGGAGATAGTATTGAAAAATGACCATTTCGAATTCGTTTGCAAAGGTGGTGCAGTGATATCAAATATAAAAGAAATTTTATTTATGAATTCAAAAATTAAAGGAATAACGGATGATATAACATCAATTCCACCAGAAGAACAAAGATATTACGCATTAAATGCATTTCCTAAAGTTTTGAAGATTGGAAGATTTAATTTAAATGAGGAATTCATAAAAGGTTTCCTAAATGACATAATGAAGAAAGCAGATAAGGAATACGTGGATAGTGAGTTAGAGGAGAAAGCAGATAAGGGACTTGTGGCTAGTGAATTAATGAAGAAGGCAGATAAGGAATATGTGACTAGTGAATTAATGAAGAAAGCAGATAAGGAATATGTCAACAGTGAGTTAGAGGAGAAAGCAGATAAGGGACTTGTGGCTAGTGAATTAATGAAGAAGGCAGATAAGGAATATGTGAATGAAAAAGATAATGAAATTAAAGAAATGGTTGGATGGTATCATGAATGGACATCAAAGATTTTAAAAACTAAAGCTGATACGGGGTGGGTTTCAGAATGTTTAGACCTTAAAGCGGATAAAACATATGTCAACGATGAGTTAGAGAAGAAGGCAGATAAGGAATATGTGGATGAAATATACCAAAGTTTGATAGGAACAACTAAAAATATTGAAACTATTGCTGGTGACTTTTCCGTCTATGAAGAAAATAAATATTTTAGAGGGCAATTGGTACATTCCTTAAAAAATGGTATGCGGTGTAAACTCATTCCGAAAAATAACAATGAAATGTATGTAAGTTATATAAAGAATGATGACACACAAGTTAAAGTTCCATTAGACAACAACTGTTACTTAAACTTATATGGAGACGAACAAAAGAAATATTTAAGAGTTTATGAAATGACAGATATGACATTGTCTAACGTAGCTCCAGCACCGTATTATTTCGACTATGGAGATGATGTCAGAACGCCGCATGTAGATGAACAAAAGCAAACATTATATTTAGATTATTATAGATATAAAAGATATAATGCAATAGAAAAAACGAGAATAGTATATTATTATATAGATGACAAAAATAAATATTATAGTCAAGATTTTACATACCCTGAAAACATAAGATTATATTATAAAAAATATTCTGACACAAACCAGAAGAAACCCGAAATAGTTACACTATATTTTAAGTTCAAAAGAGACAATCCTATATTATCTCATATGTTTGATTTAATGAACCCAGTGGGTTCTATTTATACATCTATGGATGCAAGAGGTCCTCAAGTAATGTTTGGTGTTGGTGCATGGGAACAAATAGTTGACAGGTTTTTGTATTGTGCAAACTCTTCAAAGGAAACAGGAGGAAGTAAAACGATTTCAGGTGAAAATTTACCTGCACACAGTCACTACATAGATTTAAGTACATCTCAAGCAGGTTGGCATAAGCATAGATATTGGGATTGGTCAGGAATGACAAAAGGTAAAGGATATGATGTTAAAGACGACGTTAAGTTTGCTATAAATTGTTACTGGAGTAACACTGAGGGAGGAGGAAACCATACACATCGCTTTTCAGGATATACACAAACACGGGACAAAGTAAAGATTATATGCCACCATTTATGACTGTATTTGCATGGTATAGAGTTCATGAATGAAACTAAATATATTTTATGTCTGTAATTAATTAGGTAATGAAGTAATGGATGAACTGCAGAAATAAATGGTTACGTTAATGGTTACGTTAATGGTTACGTTAATGGTTACGTTAATGTTTTTCAGGTCATTCAAAAATAATTAATTATTGAATAACCTGAAGGTGTCCACTATGTCACCATGTGTCACCAGGTCACCAGGTCACCAGGTCATTTAACTTCTCTGAAAAAATGTGACAACATGACATTTTGACAACAACACAGGAAATAAATGTTTACGTTAATGTTTTGTCATGATCATTCATCGTTTCTTTGTCATGACTTCTTCATCGTAATGAATGTATATTCTTTGTCAAACATGAGCGTAAATGATTTGTCATGATTTTCTTCATCGTAAATGTTTTGTCATGATTTCTTCGTAATGAGCGTAAATGATCCAAAAATAATGTTTAGGTGAAGCGGTGAGATTTCACCTGTTTTTTTCACCTAATTTTTCACCTCAGGAATTTTCATGACTTCTTCGTAAATGTTTTGTCAAACATGAACGTAAATGTTTTGTCAAGACTTCTTCATCGTAATGAACGTATATGCTTTGTCATGACTTCATCGTAAATGTTTTGTCGAAACTTCTTCGTAAATGATTTGTCATGATTTCTTCATCGTATATGCTTTGTCATGATTTCTTCGTAAATGTTTTGTCAAACATGAACGTAAATGTTTTGTCAAGACTTCTTCATCGTAATGAACGTATATGCTTTGTCATGACTTCATCGTAAATGTTTTGTCGAAACTTCTTCGTAAATGATTTGTCATGATTTCTTCATCGTAATGAACGTATATGCTTTGTCATGACTTCATCGTAAATGTTTTGTCAAACATGAACGTAAATGTTTTGTCAAGACTTCTTCATCGTAATGAACGTATATGCTTTGTCATGACTTCATCGTAAATGTTTTGTCGAAACTTCTTCGTAAATGATTTGTCATGATTTCTTCATCGTAAATGTTTTGTCATGATTTCTTCGTAATGAGCGTAAATGATCCAAAAATAATGTTTAGGTGAAGCGGTGAGATTTCACCTGTTTTTTCACCTAATTTTTCACCTCAGGAATTTTCATGAATTTTCCCGAAATAAAAAATAAAGTTAGTTTTATTTTTATTTTTTTTTTTATTTTGTATATAAAAATAATAATTGAGTTTTATGTTTTAATAAAAAGAAATTCTGCAATGATGGGGATAAAAATCCACCAGCAAAATCCTTTGATGATGTTGGAATTTCTAATTGAAGACGTCTGAGCTCCATTGCCTTTTCAATTGGTAACTCGTCAATTCCCTCCCAAAAACTTTGCAAATCCTTCTTGTTTATATAATTTTCGTATTCGTCCTGAGTGAATTCCTTAAGTTTTGTTAAAACACATTGTTGAACCCCGAGAGATTTCATAGAAGTTCCCTCTGAGTGCATATGAAAAAAAAAGTAGAAAAATTCTTGATATTAATAATTTAAACATTAAATATCATAAAAATTTGATGTTTCTTGAAAATCATCCATTCTGTAAAGAAATTTGTGAAATTGATGATGAAACTGTCACTTTACAAGTGTTAAATGATTCATGAGGAATTATTGAATAAACAGAAGATCGTGCTTCCATAATCAAAATTCCTCAGGCTTGCTTCATCGGGAATGAAGATTCGTTTTCATGATAATACTAGCTAGTCTATGCTACATGTTCAAAAGCTCATGACAGAAATCAACGCAGACATCATTTGATTCCAAATTTGAGAGAAGAGGCAAGATCATTGAATCAGTTCTCAATTCCGGAATAAGATGAATATCCAGCTGCTATCGATTCTATTTTTGTTCATCATGGTACTACATATTTACACTTATATTATCCAAAAAATTTCTAAATAAGATTGCAAATAATTGAACAGTTATATGGTACAGTGTAAATGTTGCAATGTATTAGACCCAATATTTATAATTCATATGAAGATCTTACCCAAATTTTTAATAGATTCAATTGAAAAGGAATTGAATACTGGATTAAAATAATTGAGCAGGTTGTGAAATCGAAGTATTGTGTTTTGACTAAAGTTAATTATTTTTATTGAAGTATTCTCAAGTAGCGTTTGATGATAATCTAATGAAAAGTGACACTTTTGCTTGTTTCATAATTTTATTGATGCAGTATGATTAATACAGTGCTATTATTCGGATAAAACCTGTAGATTCAATTTAAAATCTCATTCAAAAATTTGAGTTGAGGTGTTACAAAAACACTTTGAATATATTGTGGGGCGATCATTATGTTTTAAAATTTTATGCAAATTATCTGGTAATATATGGTAATCAAAAAATATAAAATATAGTGTCAAAATCGCTCATAACAATAATGAATTTTTATAAATGATAATCCATCTTTTCTTTAGTGTCATTTGTATTGGAAAATTAAAAACCCTTGGATTATCGCGATCATGGGATGATTACTATCCTGACACTCCTTACAATCAATCAATCCAGACAGCAGATCCTGTAACTTATCAAACTCGGTATTACTATTACGTTAATAATGTATTATTTGAGAACTTAACAGCGCAAGCTATATATGCGAAATCATATACTATAAACATGGTCGTTGAAGATACTACTTTTACTAATATTTCATCAACAAAAGATCATGGAACTGCAATGTTTCTAACTTCTAATATAAATTTAATTCAAAATAAAGTATGCTCGAGCAAATGCTCTACAAGAAATAATGGTCAGCATTTGTATATAATTACAGGTAAAACAGATCTTAAAACATTTCTAACATCTTTTACAAATAATGGTAATTTAATGTATGGTACTGGTGTTCTATCTACTTCAAATGCTAAAAATTATTTAACAAATTCGAACTTTTCGAAATGTCAATGCACATCGTATTCTGCACTTAATTTTCATTACTGTATAGCTCCAAGCAATATAACTTATTGCAATATTGATAGCTGTAGTAGTAAAACTGATTACGTTCTGGGAAAGGGATCAGATCGTTCCGATATGTTTCTTCAAGTCAATGATTGTACAATACATAACTGCAGCTGTAATAATAATTTGATAAAATTTGATGGAAGTTCAATGGTATTTAATATCAATTTTATAGATAACTCTTTACAAACAATAACTTCTCCAGTCCTAATAAATGCTGGCGCCAGTATGACTCTAACAAATTGTTATTTTCAAAACACACCTCAATTGTTTAATGAATTTGTTCATGCAAGCGAAATAAGAGACTCTAAAGTGGAAATAATTAATCAAAATTATCCAGCTTCTAGATGTCCTGGATTAGAAGAAGAAATTGAATCAAAAATTCATTCCAATTTTCATGAAAAATATTTTGATTGCGGAGAAAATATATATCTATGCTTTTTCATAGTATACGATAAATAAATACGGTTTGCCGCTCTATTTTTATTTAAGTATCTATTTTTCCTGAAATTGAATTCAGATTGTGTAAGAATGAATTCAGAATGCTAATAATATTGTTCCCTCCTTTATAATATGAAAGAATCAGTATGTTTCTTAACTAATTATACCCAGCTTTTGGATTTGTTGATATAATCTTGAAAAATTCCAAAGAAACCATATGTGTATATATACAAATAATCATCTCTTTAGATTAGTTGTTCATATGATTGATAGAACTCAGCTTCATCCAAGAGTCAAAATATGTGATTTGATAATGTCTACCGGATTTTTCAATAACTTTTTTTTAGATTTTAGTGTTTGTATTTCAATGATTTGCTCCATACTTTCCTGTCTGTTGAGACAGTTAAAAACTTCTAAAGGAAAGTAGTGACTTTAAAAAGTGATTTGCAAAAATAGCTCAAAAATCATTGGAGGACATGAAATATTAATTTTCTGGGCATACTTTCAATAAACAAGTACTACCAATGATCCATCTGATGATTTTCTAGCACAAGATACCATTAAGATATTTGAAAGCTTATTTAATACATCCAAAATAGATAAACCTTTTGATAAGAAAATTATCGTTAAATACTAAGATCTATCTTTTGAAATTATAAAATTAATGCTAATGATATACCATGAAAGACTTTTTAATACATAAAAAACTTTATCCTTCAAATTTTTCTCACATTCAATACATAAGAAATTGAGTAGAATGACATAAAAAATTGAATCGTTTGTCAAAGCAAAGTAATATATAATGAAATAAGTTATAACTGATTATTCAAGACTATAACGTAAATCTAAAATCTCATTCAAATATTTGAATAGTAATTCTGTAATTATAAAAACACTTTGAATATTTTATGGGCGATCAAAATGTTAAAATTTTTATGCAATTTAACTTGTGATATATGATCGTTGAACAATATTTAATAGTATGTTAAAATTGCTCAAACAATTGAATAATTTTTCAAATGAATCATCTTTTCTTCAGCATTATTTGCATGCCAAAATTAATTACTCCGATATTATCGAGATCATGGGATGATTACTATCCTGACACTCCATACAATCAGTCTATCGAGAGCAAAGATCCTGTAACTTATCAAACAAAATACTATTATTACGTTAATAATGTTATATTTGATAACTTAATATCGCAGGCTATTTATGCTTCATCATATATTATTCATATGGTTATTGAAGATACTACTTTTACTAATATTTCATCCACATCAAATCATGGCGGTGCAATATTTCTTACAAATTCTATATATTTGATACAAAATAAAGTATGCTCTAGCAAATGTATTTCATCAAATAATGGCCATCACATGTACATAAACGCAGGAAATACAAAATTGAAAACAACGCTTTCATCTTTTGCAAAATGTGGTAATTATTCACATAGAAACTCTATTATATCAGTTACTTCTGCTAATAATTATTTAGCAAATTCGAACATATCTAAATGTCAATGTTCGGGATACTCAGCATTTAATTTTCATTACTGTTTATCTCCAAGCAATGTAACATTTTGCAATTTTGAAAGCTGTGTCGGTAGTTATAATACAGTTCTTGGAAAAGGTATGAATTCAAACTCCCATTTTCTTCAAGTCACTAATTGTACAATATATAACTGCAGCTGTCAAAACTATTTGATTGACTTTGCAGGATATTCAAGCGTATCTGATGTTAATTTTATAGATAATGTTATTAAAACTTCTTCATCCCCAATTTTAATAAATGCCGATAAAGGCCTGACTCTTACAAATTGCTATTTTGAGAACACTCCACAGACATTTGCCGCAGTTGTTCAAACAAACGATATTATGGATTCTAAATTGGAAATAGTGAATGAAAACTATCCAATAACTAGATGCCCTGATTTAGATGAAGAAGTAACAAAATCCAAAATCCAATCAGATGCTAATGTAAATTATTTTGATCGCGAAGAATATTTATATATATCATTTTTCATGGTATATAATGAATAAATGTGCATTGTTGTCTGTTTTTAATATACTATCATAAGTTTGTTGCATATTTTGGATGAGAATAGCTGATTTTGACAAATGGAAATCCAAAAACACACAAACAAAGAATAGGAAATTCATGGGTAATTCCAATTTGAAAATCTAAAATGGAGATTCAGAGAAATTTGTAAAAATCTTCTTTGATCTGAATTATTTTTTATAAATATATTTGTTGCAACAAATCAAATAATGTTAGTAAAATCTATGAAACTTTACGATCTATCGGTATTTTACCGTATAAAAAATGCGTCCGCGAACTGGAAAGTATCCTCTTTATGATTTAATAAGCATGAGGTATGATTTCCAGGCAGCAATTAAGGAAGGTGAGAACTCTCCTGAAATTGGTTTCCTTGCAGCGACGCCTACTCTTGAAAAACAACAATTTTCGAAATTTACGGACGAAGTCAAACAAGGAAAAGATCCAGAACAGGCATTAAAAAACTTCGGATACACTTTCCCGTTTAATCTTTCAGGAATTAAAGCGATTTTGAGAGTTAAAGAAAGATTTCGAACAAATCTTCAACTATATACTACAGTAATTGCTTGTACTCACTTGGATTTACATCTGACCCGTCCAATTATAGTAATCAAGAAGCATTTGAAACAATTGTTGATCTTTTAAATCGAATTAATAATAATACTGATTATTCCAAAATCGTCAATCTATGCTTCAAAAAGATCCTAGATTGTGTTCTTACTAAAGAAAATAGAACACAATTTACGCCTGGCATCATTCAACCACTTGTTGTTCATTTTTATACAAATACGTCACTTGAGAATGATTTTTACGATTACTTTGTTAGTTTTCTTGAAGCTGTTGCAAGTTCTCCATGTTTTGATTGTGCAAGAGATTCACAATTGCTTTTAGAACAAATTGTTGTTGAAAATCGTCAGCTTATACGTGTCGACGATTTCAACAGCCTTCTTTCGTATTTACATAAGTTTACAACTAAATTAGACTCTACGTGCGTTAGAATTTTATGCAGATTATCAAAATTATATAATTTTCGAAACATTCTTAACGAAATCTACATTTTACCGGAATGCATATACGATCGTGTTATTTCTTGTAACACACAACCTTTATTTACTTCAAATTGCGCAAATACTTCGATAATAAACACAGAAAAGCTTCAGCCATACACTTCAATCGTTGAGAAGAACGATATCAACCCATTCTTCGAGGAACCGCCATTTTCAAAGGTCCAAAGCCCTTCAAATGTTTTCAAAGAATATATTCCGAAAAAAGTCTTTAATATTGCGATAGATATTGGCGAACCATTACAGCAGGCAAGTTATAATGCCATAGAAATCGTCTTACAAGCCTTAATTCATAAAGTTTGCACTTCACAAGATCCAAATATTTCAATTTCGATTTACGGTGTGTTTTTCTTAATATTTAGGAAAGCAGCCAACCTTAACTTGATCAAACTCCTCATTCCCACCATCATGAGTTCATTTGTTATGTCTCCAACGATGACAATTTTCGGAAATTCGGATTTACATCCTTTTATCAACGGATTACGTAGCGCGTTCATTGATTTTGTCATAGAGAATGATGTTGAAGAGCTCCCTGACGTTGTAGAGATGACAGAAAACACTCCAATTTTATTAGCCGAAGTTTTAGTTCGAGTTATGAATATAGAGACCATTGATGCTCATAAATTCGTTTTCCCGAAAATGCTGAAGGTTCTTGGCCAGAATCTCGTTAATTTATGTCAAACAAAATATGAATTTTTATATCAACCGAGATCTGCTTTGTTTACATTTGTTTTTAGGCTGTTTAAGAATATAGACTTGGCATGGAAATGCTTTACATGCGAGAATTTCGTTTCTTTGTTCATGTCTTTGTCATTAGAAACAGATTTGACTGAAACAATCTTTTTCGCGGTCAGAGACGCACTCACAAACTTCGATTCATCATATGACGCAAACCAATTGAACCCTTTAATCGATTGGTACTATAAAACAATTCAATTTTGTGTAAATGAGGCAAAAAGTGACGTTTATTTGCATTATTTACAGGTAGTCATCACGACAATGGCCGATTGCTTCGGAGAACAGCCTTGGTTGTCCATTTCTTTCAGGCCAATTCTGAAATTATTGTTGGATATTTTGGAAGTACGTCCGGATAGACTTATTCTTGAAAATACCATCAAATTGTTATCAGCCATTGAACGAACTGTTGATAAATTCTACTTAAATCGCAGTTTGTTCGCTAGATTAGTCAAAGTTATCAAATTAGTTGACAAAGAAGAGCCTTCAACAAGAATTGAATTGTTATTGATGTCTTTGTTAAGTGGATATTGCGCAATGACCACTTTAACAAGGTTTTACATCAAAGAACCTTCAGTTATTCCATTAATTATTGCAGTTTTCGGTCAATCGTCCAGATTCGTCGATATTCTTAAGACATTCAAGCAGTTATGCGACTACACGGCCTTCAACTGCCGTCAATTCCACGATGGAGACCTGGATTGGATATTGATGACCTACATCTCACAAAAGAAAGACAAGGCGACCTTCAAATACCGAAATGTAGATATTTCTATATCACTTGAGCATAGCGATATCGAGAAATACGTCTTGCCATTAATAACTTCGATGGCAGTTTCAAAATCATCAACTGCTATCTCAACCATCATGGCCAATTATATTTCTACAGACGTTGACCAGCATTCCTTTGATTTTTGCAACTATTTAGACATACTTTTAGGAAAATGTGCAATTACTCCCACAAAAACCTTCTCAATGAACACTTCCCCTGATCCACAGTTCTCTGTACAAGGCATATTTGGCGAAGATCTCAACAAAGGCTTCACAATTTCCTTAAGATTGAATATTGATGCAACACCTATGACAGCATCCAACGCCAGCATCTCCTTATTCACTATTACAGACGATGACTACAATCTCCTTCGTTGTTTCCTCTCTGCTGGCCATATTTTCATGAAATACGAAGCAGATTGTACAAGAACATCCGTAATCTTGGCCAAAAACGTTCCATCTCAACAGTGGACCTTGTATACAATCATTGTTCGTATGGATGGTCAAATGGTCAAACTAAGTACATTCGAAAACAACCAAAGTTTGAATGATTCAGACCTTTGTGAGTTCACTTTTAATCCGACCAAGTTAGAATTTGTTGTTGGCGGATTGAATGAACCGATGGAAAACTCGCAATGGGATGATATTCAAATGGGAGAGTTCGGAGACTTGAATCTTTACACGGAATTGTTGACTCAATCCGATATAAATGTTTTGTATTCACAGCCGTGGAGTTTCACGAAAGTTCCTTTGTTTTCAACGTCTTCCATTCCAACACCTGGTCTCAAGTCGACTTTTACAACACCAAGAAAAAGAATCGCTGTAAATTCGTCACTTTTTTCAAATTACATTGAAAATTTGACGATAAATGTCAGTGATTGTAAAACGCCATCATTACATTTATTAGATAACATGGTTGATGGTGATTATGGCAATATATTGGCCGGGTTCTTCAGACAAGAACAGTTTTTCAACAACGAATATCCTCCTTTGATTTTGGGATTGATAAAATCAATCTTCAAAAGATCCCTAAAAAGTCAAATTGGTTTCACTTCACTTTTGACTATGACCACCAATCTTTCGCAGCATCCGATGATACTGAACTCCGAACTTTACTTGGCTTTGTACCACGTTTTCGAATCAATTCAATACGAAGCGTTACATTTTCAATGGTTTACAAAACTTGTATTCAATTTTTGGTTGTGGGTCAATTGTGAGAACTACAATGACTTATTCTTTATTTTGCAGCACTGGCATTCGATTCTTTTACCGAATTTGACTGATTTGGTCAAACAAAAATCATTTTTCTCTGTTTTATTATCACAATATAAAATGATTTTGTGTTTTGACAAAGAAGATGAAAACATTGAGAAAATAGAAGATATAAACTACGAGCATTCCATCAATATAATGAAATACTTCACTAAAGGTTACACAGTTAAAAATGTATTGGCAATAAGAGACATTTTTGTAAAAATTATGAAAAGAACGGCTTTTATCAATTTTACTTCATCTGATTTCCGAAACTTGTTCAGTTTATTGGCAACATCAAAGACAAGAACAACTTCATTGATAATGCTCGATATAATACACAATATAACGAAGCCAATCCTTCAAACAAAAATGGTTTCTCATAAATATAACGCAATTTTGGAAGAATTTGTAAAAAGTGACAATTTGGAAATTGTCAAATCTGCCATTATTTGTTTACATTCGATATCCTATCAGAACATGATTGAATATTCACAACAGATCTCAGAGAACATAAATAGAGATCTTAAACCACAAGTTTTCGAATTTTTCGTGAATAATCTCCAGAAATATCCGAATTTATATAATCTTTTGATAATTTTATCAATAGAATTAAACGAAATGGAAAATTTGGCAACAAAAATTGGTCAAACAATCAAATCTCCTAATCTATATTTGTGTCCTGATTGGTTCCTTTGGCCAGTTGTTTTATGTTACAATATTCCAAAAGAATACATGAATTTCATCATTCTTTTCATTTGCCAAGTAATTGAATCCCAACAAGACAACGCTACTTTGTATTTCAACGTGTATTCGTTCATTAAATTCATTGATGATTCTTTAATTAATTGTAACAAAGAAGTTTTGATTTTGTTTACAAAAACCGCCGCTTATACAATTATGTCAAAACCGGATGTTACTTCATATGTTATTTTATCAATCTTTGCATCATTTTTCTTCCATTCATCCATGCAATCGCACTCAAATAATTTAGTAGAAATGTATTTGAGTTCTCCTTTTGGAAAAGAAAAATTTGAATCACTTCAAAAAGTGCCAATTCAAATCAGTTCACTTAAGAATATTGGTGATGTTTTAGCATTATCTAATTACGACATTGATGGTGTTAAGTTGTTTTACGAATGCAAGACTGACAAACATAATTTTGTTCAATCGAATTTTCTTGATGAAATGGTTAATGCTCATAATTCTTTTGAACTCAACTCAGGAGATATTTTGTTCTTTAATTACATGATAGGAATAACGAAACAGAATAATCTTATTCCTAGTGACCAAAGAAACCAGTTATTGAATTCTTCTGTTGAATTTTTCGATAAAATTTTGTCAGCTTTTGAGAGAAAATACAAAAATTCATTGAAAAAGGCATTTGCGTCTATGAATTCGATGTTGAATTCACAGAATAAGTTTGTTGAAGAGATGACAATTAATCATTTCGAAGACTACAAGAATGATGGAAATAATATAATTGTTAATGAATTTGAGAATTCTTTGAAAGATTTTTGTAACATGATTACTTCTATGACAGTAGTAGTATATGAGTGCGGGTTTAGTGACTTTTTTTGTTACATCTATATATAGACGATGCATTAAAATATATTTATTTATAAATCATTAAAAAATTAACATTAATTTTAAAATAATTTATTTTTTTATCTTTTATAAAAGAAGCTATATATAGATGATGTCAGATATTCCGCGATTAATTAAACATTGTTTAAATCCTGAATGGGTTAAACTTCAATTTAAAAATGAAGATTGTGAATTATTAAATGAATATGAAAGCCAAAATAAGCTAATGAGGTATAAATATAATGATAAAGAATATTTAATTTCATGGAATCAATGGAGTCATAATCAAAGACCTCATAAACGAGAAGAAGAAATTGAAAATAATGAAATGGAAATCATTGATGACATTAAAGAGGATGGAATTCCTAAATTTTGTAGAAAAACCTTTAGAACTAAGTTAGGAGCATATAAACGTAGAGTATTAAATCCTGAATATCTTAAACATCAATTTAAAAAGGAAGACTGTGAATTATTAAACGCTAATGAATATGAAAATGCTAAATCAAAACTGAGATATAAATATATTGGAAGTGATGAAAGGTGTAAAGATAAAGATAAAGTTTATTCAGTTTCATATAATAACTGGCACACGTTGGGGATAAAAAAACATTTAGGAGATTATGGTAAAAGTTCTGAATTCTTCAAATCTAGTATATACGAGAGAGTAAAAGAAATTAGAAATAATTATTTTCATGAATAAAAAAATAATTTTTTTTAAAAATTCATGTCTTACATTTTTGAATAATTTATTTTTTTAATTTGTATGAAAATGAGTGTCAAAACTAACGACGTTAAAAAATATATTTCATCACTTATATTCTAATTTTTATTTAATGATAAATGAAACCGATTTTAAAAATAAATGAAACAAAGGAGGAAGAAATAAATGAAAGTGAAAATGTTCAACAAAAAATAAACGTTGTTAAACCAATTACTGAAATAAAAAATTTTTCATCTGTTGAAGAATTTAATGACTATTATGCTAATAATAAAAAATTATTTGAAGAATTGACAACATGTAAATTGAATAAAATGTTTAAAGTTGATGGATTCAAAATTTCAAAAATAAAAGGAGTGATTAGTTTGAAATCTATTCCTCAATCAAGAATCACCTCATTAATGAAAATAGATGATTTAACAAAAAGAATAGAAGAGATTGAAGAAAGAATAAATCAAATAATTGATATCATAAATTCAAATAATCATTAGTTTCTTAAAGTTCAATGTTGATTCTGAGACATGAATTTTTAAAAAAAATTATTTTTTATTTTTTATTTCATTATGGTAGTGAATCTTTCATTCATGAAAATAATTATTTCTAATTTCTTTTACTCTCTCGTATATGAGGTCTTTGATTATGACTCCATTGATTCCATTCAGGATTTAAACAATGTTTAATTAATCGCGGAATATCTGACATCATCTATATATAACTTCTTTTATAAAAGATAAAAAAATAAATTATTTTAAAATTAATGTTAATTTTTTAATGATTTATAAATAAATATATTTTAATGCATCGTCTATATATAGATGTAACAAAAAAAGTCACTAAACCCGCACTCATATACTACTAATTAAAAACAAAAACAATAAATAAAATGTAATTTTCGTTAATCAAAGTCATCAATGTCTTCGTCTTCTGATTCCCATTCGGACTTGAAAACTTGATAATCTCCTCCTGGTACACTCTGAATGGATTTTTTGTATTTGTTCTGTTTTTTAGAACCTTTTGTAACAGTTTTTTGTTTCAATATCATTTTGGAGTAACAATTCTCTTCAAATGATTTGACACAATCTTCTGGAAGTGGGGGAAGATGTAATGCTTTTTGTATATCTCCGAGAAAATGCTCTGGATCATTCCATTCTAAGATTGCAACGTTAACTCTAATGTTAATGTTCTTCCAGGCTCTTGATTTGTCCAAATAGCATGCAATTTTGGAAGAAACTTTGGAAACTATGGGTGTCCATTTGTGAACCCAGTCATAGAGCATGAATTGAAGTTGGATCGAATTGACACCTTTTTGCCATTCAAAGCATTTGTAATTGTGCGGTTCGCAAAAAGAATGATTGCCTACGTAATGGTAGACACAATTCTCCCACATTTTCGTACGTTTGTCAATATTTTCTTCGGCAAAACATGACCAAAGCCACATACTTAGGCTTGCATTCAGACCCCAGAAAGGTCTCTCTATTTTTTTCAATCTTCTGAGTCTTGTCGTTGAAAACTTCAACTGTCTTATGAGAAGCTGAGAACTTTGTAAAATCTTTTGAGATATTTTTTGATACATGACCTGGATCGAATCTTTCAAGATGAGAGACGCCAAATTCTTTAAAGACAGAGACACTTTTGTTATCTCGGTCTTTAATAATCTCTTTAACATCTTTCAAGATATTGTATTTCTTTAATTGCTTCAAGATGATTCGAGTTCCAGCACTTTCCATATTGTTGGAAGCTCCGGAATACTGAGCATGCTGTCTGTTTCCACCAATATGGTTGATGTTCACGCATGCAAGAACTGTTTTTGTGACAGCATCGAGCGCAGTTACTGTACAACTTGGCGAGTTTCGCCTGTGCGTCCATCTTGCATCAATGGATAAGTAACTACTGAAGGACTTTCTCGACAGCATTAGGGAAATACTTTTAAGTCTTCTAATATTATCGTCACAAAATCTCTGTTGTCTCATGACACCACTCTTCACAGGGGGTTTAGTTCCACAAAGAGAAAGAAAGCGAGCACCTTTTGTATATGGCATTCCGGTCATTATGCAAGCACCAAGCATCTGTCGCGCTGAGAGTCGACGACGTTCGTGGAGTAAAATGTTATGCATTGCCTTTGTTTTCCGTTTTGGGTGAACAATATGGCCCATACAACAAAAAAATGCAAAATGAAGAATAAAAAGTAATAATTAATAAAATATACTATATATTATGAATATTTTTGGAATAACATTTTAAAATCGAGGTTTTTCAATGGATAACGGTTCGATCAAAAATTTGACCCCATTTTAGAATCTACATTAAAAATGGAACATTTCTGTCGTTTCAAAATTCCAAAATAACGTTTCTATTCCTCTCAAAAGTAAAAACAAACTTTATTGGGGAAAAAATATTTTTATTTTCCAAAAAAAATGAAAACCTTAAATGCAAATTTAATTTTGATGCTTTTGTTTGTGATTTTTTGGATTTCGAAAAAATTTGAAAATTCAGACAAGTTACCATTAACACTAATACGTTTCAGCGAGTCGGTCCCATCAGAGAAATTTTCATAAATCGGCGATATAATTTATTATTTCAGCAAAATATTCTCAGATCCAACTAGAATAAGGTCAAATTATACAAATTTAGCAAAGGCTAGTTATCCTACCTATTCAATTAACTTTAATTTTAAATAATTCAAGACAATTCTCAAAATTACCTTAATAATCGCGTTCTCTTCGCAAAATGACGATTCCTCATTCACTACCAGCATAACTGAGGGCTTGTGCTCACAGAATAATACAGATAATTTACTTATTAATGCAAAATTTAGTACCAAAAGGTAATCATAGAAGATACAAAAAAAGTTTCTTTATTTTGATTGCTGATTTTATTTCTTCTAAAATTTACCAAATCTAAAAAATCCAAAATTGAATGCTATTGAATTTCATGTTTATGTAACATATACTATTTATTATATAAGGAATAAAAATTTTATAGTTTTAATCAAAAATAAAGGTGTACTAAATGCATACAAAACAAGGTATTTTTTACTCATCCAAAATATGTTAACAGTGCTATTTATATAATCAATATCCGAATTTCGAAATCATTTTGATGAAATCTTTATTTTAAAATTGAGTTGACTGTTAAAATCACCCGAGAAGAGGGATTATCTCAATGAAAAGTACATAAAATAGCAAACGCACAAGATGGCACTATGCAGCTTTATATTGTTATACAGGATGAACATATAAAATGTTTGGAAAACACTTACTTCGTTCTACAAATGTGTATCTCTTTATATCAAAGATTCTTCTCAAATTATTGAGAGACTTCTCTCAAAAAAAGGAAAATTTGATAACTAAAAAAATTATGGCATAACCTCTCGTTTTGCATAGATATATATTTACATGGTCACAGAGCTTATTTTCATTGTCAAAACTTAAAAATTTTTAGTGGACTATACCCTTAAAAGCGAAGGATAAACCTCAAAATTTACGAATATAATGAGTGGGAATATAATGCTTATCTATCATAAAACCATATGAAATATCAATTTTTGCTTTACGCCTAATTTTTGACGACAATTAGCAAAAAATGTTAAATGTTAACACTCAGTCCATTTGAATATGAAAAATAAAATTGACTTTGATTAAATGTTTTTATTTATCATGCAATTCTTCTTGCGACCAAAGATTTGAATAAAAGTTCAAAAAATAAGATAGCTTAAAAAATAATATACGGTAGTGTTTACTAATAGATGAATAGTATATAAATTCTATTAAAATGGATTTGATCCAAAAAAATATAAAACCAAAAATAATTGTTATAATTTAAATGAAGAAGTAATTTAAAACGATTTTATTTATGATCAAATTTTATATATTTTTTTGGATCAAATCCATTTTAATAGAATTTATATACTATTCATCTATTAGTAAACACTACCGTATATTATTTTTTAAGCTATCTTATTTTTTGAACTTTTATTCAAATCTTTGGTCGCAAGAAGAATTGCATGATAAATAAAAACATTTAATCAAAGTCAATTTTATTTTTCATATTCAAATGGACTGAGTGTTAACATTTAACATTTTTTGCTAATTGTCGTCAAAAATTAGGCGTAAAGCAAAAATTGATATTTCATATGGTTTTATGATAGATAAGCATTATATTCCCACTCATTATATTCGGAAATTTTGAGGTTTATCCTTCGCTTTTAAGATCATTGAATTTGATTTTTATATAAAATAGTTATATATTAGAAAATAATATGAGTTTATGTGATATTATTTTTCAGAAGATTTTGTGTTCTTCTTCAAAATTTTATTCTTTTATTAAAAAGAATCTTTACAAAATATACATTTACTTTAATTAATATTTAAAAACGTGCTCTATCAAAAGTTCCAAAAATTCAATATTTTAGCTTTTCTGAGGTGTCACTTTTGATGAATTTCTGTTTACAACATGTCATTGAAAATTTAAAAATATCAAATTGTCTTGAATAATTATCTAAAAATATAAATAATTATTTTTCATACTTTATACAAAAATTTGAAATACCCCCATTTGATTTATTTTTGGCCCCCACTATAAAAGTACCAAAATCATGGAAGATCAAACTATCTATTTGGATTTAATTTGCAATTATTTTTTGATGCAAAAATTCCTATTCTAACAATAATATTTGGACTTAGATATATCAAACGTGCTTTTGTCACTTTTTGTTTATATAAAATATCTGAAGAACAAATATATATTAAAGAGTTTAAACTTTTCTTCTTCATCCATGGAATCACGCATTGTAGGTTCAGTGTTTTCAAATATCCTGATAAATGATAACAAAACCTACACAGTTAATTATCTTGGACCAGATTTATTTCGAATTTTTGTTAGCTCATTCATCTCATGTCGAAATCCTAATTCTAGACTCATCAACATGAATAACGGAATCATCAAATGTTGTTCTTTTAATAATAATTTTGGTCGCTCTGCATCTCTATTTTATTCATCTAGAACAGCTGCATTTTTATATAATAATGCAGTTAATAACTCACAACATACACTAATCTTTCGCTCAGATGGGAATAATCTTCAAATGATTCAATCTAATTTTTCGCATACAAAGAGTCATCTTCAAGGTTCTCTTTCTTCAAGTGGCGTATATTTTCATGAACAAAAGTATGTCAATTATTATAAATGCGGAAACGATACAGGTGGCGCATCAATAGAAATTTATTTAGGAAAAAGCATTATCGGTGTATCTAATTATATTGAAATTGGACTTGATACCAGTTATGGTACCTTTTTTATTGTTGGATATGGAATTGAATCTATTGTTAAGAGTTGCTTTTTTCAAATAAAGGGATATAATTCGTTTTTAGGTTTTTGGCCAAATAAAAATAATGAAACAGTTTATTTTGAAGATTGTACAATTATTAGTGATGTTCAGCATGATTTGCAATCTTTCAGAACTAAGAACGTTATTCTTACCACATCTAAGAGTGATTATACATTCGTTAATATTCCATATCTTGAAACCGATATTATTGATTTTGACGAAACCATTTTTCATCATTGTTATCAAACCCGTTTTAATTATTTCATCATTTTTATTGTTTTAATAAACGATGAATCCTAATAAAATCTATTTCAATAAATTAACAGATTTAGATCATCAAAAATTCGAATAATTTTATTATTTGAAATTCGATTGAATACAGCTTTTTATTTGAGCCGGACATTTTGTTTGTATGTAAAATTTACCTATGAAGATAATTATTATATGCATATGTGATTATGATGTAAATTATAGATCCATTAAGAATATGACCTACTATTACATTGAAGCTATTTCAAAAATTATTATGATGAGGAAAAAATAAAAAATAAAAATAATACCCAGATTTGCTTTACTTTTACCACTCCCCATGTAATTTCTGGGGAAAACGATAATTCATTTTTTTTATGGATGAATAGATCGTTTTCCTAGAAAGGACCTCATATCTCTGGCTAAAAAGAGTGTCAGATCCTAAATAGATTATTGATCTAGTGTACAAATCCAATAAAAAGCCTATTTTTTTGGCTTTTTTGGTGCTCATTTTTTCGAAGATCTACATGAATATGGGGAAACCATCGGATTTTTTTGGTTAACCCACATCTTCATGTAGTCTGGACTATCTTTCCTCGAAGGACCTCTTTACGGGTGTAAAAACTCATAAAGTTCTCAAAAGATTCATTCTCGATCTCCATGCTGAAAGAATTTACAATAAAAAAGAGATCTACGCATCAAACTACAGCCATAAATGAACTGAACCCCTAAAGCTCAGCTCTTAGTTTATCAAAAACGTCGAAATCCTTCTCATTGCAATCAAATTTTCTCAATAACTCATAAGAAAAATCGAATTTTGATTAAGCCGATGTTATAGGTATCACAAATACTACAAACTTGAGCAATATCGAAATTGCCAGCAGAAGTTTGAAATTGCATTGCTCATATTTGTTTTGTAAACTAAAAATCTGCTTATATTATTCATTAATTTTTTATATATTATTCATATACTTTAATAAAAACAATACTATTTCACCTTAAAAATGAATTTCATAAGTCAATATTATTTTTTTGAAAATGTATCAATTTTCGATTAAAACAACATGAGAATAAAATTTACGCAAAATTATTTTAAAAAATGGTTTTAAAAATTTACAATTGATTAAGAATAAGATTGGAAGAAGTTTTGAAGTTTAATTTTAAGAAAAAAAATTCGGATATTATTCATGGATCTAAGTAATCTGATATTTGAGTATCGGCACTATGCATAAAACATATATTTATAGTTTTTTTGGATTTTTATGATTTTAAATATATTCAAATTTGGCAATCCAATAGATTTTTAAAAAATAGGTAAATAAAAATAGATTACATATGCAGCAGATTTAGAACATGAAACAAATCTTATAGTGACCCAAAAAAAAATTCATGATCCAAAAAAGAAAAAAATTGGCTAAATTGGAATCAAACCTTGGCATAATGAATCATTATGTCGGATGTTTCCACTACACCGGCAGTTCGAAAAATACCCTTGGTGGTTCTATTTAATAGCTACTCCCAACGATAGGCGGTGTCCCC